TGGGTAAGATACCATGTGGAAGTGGACCTATTGAGCGTCAGCAGGAGCAGTGCAGTGAAGGAGGTGACGGTCGACTTACATGGTCAACGACCTGGTGCGCGATGCGGCCGTTGTTCTGCAGGATGTTGAAGTCACCAGCGCCAGTGGCCTGAGCGAGCTTCTTTGCGACAGGCTATGGGGATCATTCGTCAGCTATGCATGGCCTGGTCTCCAAGGTAGTCGGGAGGCGGTCGGCCGGTCCAGGACCGCGGGGTGTGGCGGTGATGCAACCCGTTCCCCCCGGGTCCTCACACCTAGGATCGGCGAGTATAAAAGAGACCGGCTTCCCGCTGTATTGGGTTGTCTCATCCGCTCTCCAGGGACTCTGGGGAACATACCAGGATCTCGCTGAGGTCTTCGTCCGGGATGTCGGTCAGCTTGGCGCCGTGGAACTTGGGGATCACGAGCTGCAGAGGGTTTATGTCTGTTAGTCAACACTCTCGAGGGCTGTGAGATGCCCACATCGACTAGGAGGCGCTCTGAGGGTGATGTTTCCGAGTTGTCTAAGAATTCTGGCGGAAACAAGGGTTGCGTCGATGCGGTGCGGGGGAATGAGGAGACTCACCGCATGGCCACGGCTCAGAGGCTGGATGTCGAGGAAGGCAAGGACCTTGTCGCTCTCGAAGAGCTTAAAGCAGGGGATTTCACCTGTGGTTTGATGGTTATTAGTAGGCTGTTGTCGTGAGGTCTGCGCGCGTAAATGGAATGCAGTAGCTCCGTAGCAACAATGATACAATCGGGGGGAGTCTGTCAGAGCCTGGCTTACCCTTGATAATCTTGCAGAAGATGCACGCGGCGGAGGAGGCCATCTTGGGAGTGGTCAATTAGGTTACTGGGAGGATGATGAATTTTGTATAGGAGAGTGGAAGTGTCGGACGAGAGGTGAATACCTTGCTGTAGGTCTGAATGCGGGGTTGAAGTTGAAGGCGGAACGAGTCGGGGAAAGAAAGTCGGAGAGAGGGAGAGAGGTGACGGGCGGATTCGAACCCCGGCTGCCTGGGCGCTGGAGGTAGCATATAGATCAAATAGCGGGTCAGTCTGCGAGGAGTGGGACAAGCTAGTTCAGAACCCATTTCTTGCCTTTTACCAGAGATGGCCGTGGCTTGCCCAGAATACTCCTCTCCTCAATCTTTGGAATTCTCCATCGACACAGCTGTCGATTTTATTGTTTTGTTTTTGCCCTCGATCTTATCCAGGGTCCCTCAGCGATCATTCTATCTCTTTTTCTCGCTTTTTCTGCCCATCTGGAGGCAGTTCAAAGGGTTGGTGCGTGGTAGGTCCCCGTCAAAGGTCGTGTGCATAAGTCCCCTACCGTGGTAACCACCAACACCAGACAGACATCGACACATGCAGACTCCGTAGGGACAGACAAGACATATCTGGCAAGACATTCGAGTCATCCTCCGATCTTGAATAACATCCCAAATCATCGCTACGCCTCCAACGGAGGACATGAGCGGACAATTGTCCGTTATCTGTCGGCTTTGATTCCGCTTCAAACCACATACCTATCGACGTCTTCGACGAGAATCGCCGCGATTATGGCCTATGCAGACTAGGACACGACATGCAATTACAGTCGTCTATATATTTGCTTATTGTCTCTGACCTCTTGAGTCTTCAAACCCCACTAGCATATATCATTCGCAGCGTCTTTACCGGCTCTAAACGATTGCCCTGGAAGTTGGAGAAGACAGTCCTTCTCCAACTATCATAGTCTACCCGTCAGCAAATGAACTCCGTTTAATTCGACGATAGCACCGACTCTCTCCACTCCGGTATCTTATCACTCCGCAGTCTACCATATCTCCCACGGTCTCCAACACCCAGCCAGAAGCAACACACTTATAAACCCCTCTCTTCTCGTATCAGTTGTCCAAAATGGCTTCAGCTATTTACTCCCGACTTCAACCTACCGCAGCGGCGAGACTGTCCTTCCGGACCCCCAAACTCATAAGCAAAAGATCTACTCGCATACAACCCTTTCGCAGCTTCTCCAGATCCCTACAGCCAGCAATGTTGACGACGGAACTCTCCGACGCTCAGGTCTCGGCCCTGAGAGCCAACAAAGACCGTCTCGCAAAAGACCTTCATGAAAGTTGTCAATGGGGATATGGTATCCGCTGGGGAGAGTGAGTTGCCTTCACATTGCTGTGTGCCGCATGGCCCAGTTTCTTGCACCCCATCCTCCTTTGTTATCGGATCTTAGCTATGAAATGTAGTAGCTTTACTGACTGTAACCTAGGGGACCGACAGACACGGGCATGCAGCGTCTGGCACTATCGGAGGAGGACAAGAAAGTACGCGACTGGTTTATTGAAACTACGAAAGCATTGAAGTGCAACATCACAGTTGACGAGATGGGTAACATCTTTGCGGTACGGCCTGGGCGAAGAAAGGATGTCCCGCCGACCTTCATCGGCAGCCATCTGGACACACAGCCTACGGGCGGTCGTTACGACGGCATCCTCGGGGTCCTCTCCGGTATCGAGGCTTTGAAGGTCATTGATGAGATGGGCATCGAAACTGAAGGAGGCGTTGGAGTCGTGAACTGGACGAAGTAAGGGTCCTCCCTCTAGACTTTGAACTCATCCTCAATACCGATGCTAACCCCAACAGCGAGGAGGGCGCCCGTTTCCCCATCAGTATGATCTCTTCCGGAGTATGGGCCGAATGCATCCCGCTGGAGAAGGCGCATGCGCTCAAAGAGGTCCCCGACTGTCGCGTCTCTCCCCACAGCATCCTCTGCCCCCGAGTCCATGAAGTCAGCCCTCGAGAAAATTAACTACCTCGGGACCACCAAGTGCTCTTACCAGGAAACGCCCATGGCGGCGCACTTTGAGTTGCATATTGAACAGGGTCCGCATTTGGTCTCTGCCGGCCAACGTGTCGGTGTCGTCACTGCCGTTCAAGCCTACCGCTGGTACCGCCTCAACATCATCGGTAGAGATACTCACACAGGCACTACGGCATTCCAGCACCGTGCAGATGCTCTATATGCGTTCGCACGCATGATGGTACACGCACGCGAAGTCGCCGCCTCCCATGGCTGTCTGGCTAGTGTGGGAATTGTCGAGGCGAAGCCTGGTAGTGTGAATACTGTGCCAGGCCTTGTCAGCTTCTCGCTCGACATTCGGGGGCCCGAAACCGAGCTGGTCGGAATTGTGGAGGCTGAACTGAGAAAGGATTTCGACGCCATTGCGGCCGACGAGGGCAAGGGTATCGGCAAGCCCTGTCGTGTGGAGTGGATTCTGGACTTCGACTCGCCCGCGGTGAAGTTCCACCCTGACTGCATTGACTGTGTGCAGCAGTCGGCTGAGGCGGTTGTTGCAGACTCCCCTGACCCGAAGTCGCTGGTGCGTACGATCATGAGTGGTGCTGGCCATGACAGTGTCTTCACCTCCAAGCGAGTGCCTACCAGCATGATCTTCGTGCCTTGTAAAGATGGGCTGAGCCACCATCCCGAAGAATACTGCACTGCCGAGGACTGTGCCACGGGTACATCCGTTATCCTCCAAGCGGTCATCCGCTATGACCGGAAGCGGTTCTCTTGAGGTCTGTACAGACTGCCCTTTCCCAATCGATGTACATAGCAATTGAATCTAGTTTCTACGAAATGTCACGCTGATTGCAGCACACGGCCGGATTCTTGACGTAGTTCGATCCATCTGACACTTTGCCGGCTCTTTATCTGGAAAGTATTCGGAATCGCAGAGAGAGTTCCACGGTAATGGAGTGAGGTTGGCGGATCTGTATCGAGTTGTAGAACACAACTATATGTGCAGCAGAGAAGACGGTTCATATCTTCGTGCCTAGCCTCGACATTTAGTTTGGCAGTGATATGCAGCTAATATGCGGTCTGTCTACGTTGACTTGAGGGAGTTGAAGAGCCCATGGACTACATGATTGGGCAGACTTTGGCCATGCAAAGGAAACTGGTTCATCAAATCATGCCATTGATCCTAACTATTTCATGACGAGACAGCGGCAATGCACAATTCTTTTTATGATGTGCAAAGAAACGGCAATTTCTGGCTCTCTTTCAAAAGCCTACTCAAGCCGCACTTGCAGCATCAACCCAAGCCCTTGGAAGACCGAGCGACATCTCTTTAAGCAGAGGGGGCGCCACGGCCACGGCCGAAACCACCACGGAAGTTGGGGTTGAACTCGCCGGGGGCGCCACCCTCCTTCTCCTGGTCGCGGCGGCGGTAGCCACCCTCACGGGGAGCACGGGGACGGCGCTCACGCTCCTCACCGCCCATCATGCCACGAGGGGGAGCGTGGGAACGCTGCTGCTTGATGTGGGTGGCGGGGACAACCTCGGCGGGGAGGTGGAGCCACTCGCGGAGGTAGTCAAGACCCTATCGCAGGATTGTTAGACTGGTCGTTCGTACCGGGCGAAACGAAAGGCACATACCTCGGGGGTGAGGGTGTAGTAGTAGTACTGCCACGAGAACTGGGTCTTGACGTAGCCGCGGGAGTTCAGGGACTGGCAGGCCTTGATCACGTAGAGGTTCTTGGTGTCAATGTCGCCATGCTTGGGAAGGTTGAAGTCCTTCTTGGCCACGAGCACACCCTCTGTACCCGAGTATGTCAGTAAGAGTTCTCTCTTTCGTATTTATAGTCCGCTTCGTTCGACATGGCATTTAACGGGACTGACGAGCGGACAGGGACGTCGGCACATACCGCGGAAGAGGTACTCGTGGATCTTCTTGCGGTCTTCCTTGGGGATCAACCTATATGGGGAGTTAGTGTCTGTCTGTAATTGAAAGAGTAGACCTCATGAAGATCGATGGCAACTTACATTGTCGCGAGTTCCTGGCGCTCGTCGGGGAATCGCTCTGACAATGCGCGAAACAGGTGGTTTAAATGATGGATGGAATCGAGTGGAGCGACGGCGCTTTAGGTGAAAAGTGCGGTTCCTCTTTGGGAAACGCGAGCTAGGGTTTACCCTAATCAGCTACCATCACGTGGATTGCATCATGTGACTTCCAAATCAGTCTTCGCGGGCGATCCTTATGTAATCGATCCCTTATCAAATCTCTCCGCATGTCGAATGACTCTCATCAGCCACTCTGCCTCCACTTCACATCTCCCTCGACGACGGATGCCCATATCCTTCAAAGTCCCAACGACTCCTTATATACACATACAGGAGAATACACCCCACCTCAATATCACATCGGTCCCTCCCAAAATGGCGGCCCAGAACGTGAACATCCTCCTCTCGTCCTTCCCTGGACTTTCCCTCCCCTCGACGCTCTCATTCTCTCTCCCATCGACCTCGACCGTCGCCGAACTTACAGAGAAGATCTCCTCCTACATCCCGTCATCCGTTCCCCTCCAGTCGCTCATCTTGACGACAACCAGCAACAAGCAACTCGTCCCGTCTTCAACCCACTCGCTCTCCGAACTTCTCGCGCCCAATGGCGGAACGCCGTCATCGAACCTCCTCCCCCTCCGTCTCTCAGTGCCCTTATGCGGAGGTAAGGGAGGTTTCGGATCTCAGCTGCGCGCTGCTGGCGGGCGCATGTCGAGCAAACGCAAGCGCAACCAAGGCGATGATAACGGATCCAGTCGCAACCTCGATGGCCGAAGGCTTCGCACCGTTAACGAGGCCAAGGCGCTGGCCGAATACTTGGCAGTAAAGCCGGAGATGGACAAGAAGGAGAAAGAGGAGCGACGGCGCAGATGGCAGGCTGTGGTGGAGGCTGCGGAGCGGCGCCAGGAGGAGCTGAAGAATGGCGGCGGAAAGCAGAAGATCGATGGTCAGTGGATGGAGGATAAAGAAGAAATGAATGAGAAGGCGCGAGAAGCGGTTTTGCAGGCGATGAAAGATGGTGCGTGGACGGACAACCTGCGTGACACGATTCTTGGTGGATCTAGCACGAGTGCCAGCGCCAGCGAAGGCAGTGGTCGGGAGTCTTCGGCCAGCTCGGAGGAAGACAGCGAAGACGATCAGAACGTGGATGGTGCTCCTGGGCCATCGGCACCGGTTCGCAACTCTGCGCCGCCGAGGAAGTTTATTGGGTTCGACGATGATGATGAATTCATGAGTGATTCTGAGGAGGATGAGTCTGCCGATGACTCCAAGGGGAAAGGAAAAGCGAAGGCATGATTGAATCTCATGCTGTGTCTGTTTTATGCGCTGCGTTTCTACAGTTGCCAGCGTTGGTTCTTTTTGCGATGTATGAAAATCACGGTCAAGGAGCAGCGGTTTCACCTTTCAACGAATGTATTGTACTGTGTTGCATATAATAATGCCAACCAATTATTTTCTAAGTTATCTGACTGGATCTTTGAGCAATTCACGTCTTAGTTGTATTGTAGCCATTTTGCCACAGTAAGTTTTTACGGGGCTCGGGACGGACCACCAGTGCTATCGCTATCTATGCGGCGTCTCGATCTCCGACAGACGAGCACTCTCCTGTCGTCCTCGGATCGCCGCGAAATCTCATCCGTCATGTTGCCGCATCTTATGCGCATGGTCCTTAGAGTTCCAGGATGGAAGCCACATCCCCCTCCACGCCAACACCGCCTCGCTCGACAGCTACGGTCTTGCGGCGCCTTTTCGCAACTATCTTCGCCAAGCTCCCATTGCTCAATCAAGACGCAAGAATGGCAACGTAGCTTTTCCACGGATGCTCCGTCGAACATAAAATCACCGGAACTCGTCGAAAGCGTGCTCCCTATTTGCTGTCCAGGATGCGGCGCCTACGCGCAGACCGTCGAACCCAACGAACCCGGATACTACAGCAAAACTCGAAAACAGACTCGAAAGCTCCTGTCGGAAACGAAACAAGTCGTCCACGGCGAGAACAATGGTCTGGGTGAAGGAAATGACCTAAAAGCTAAGGGAAAAGAGGCCGCCGATACATTACAGCGGGTGATCAAGGAATCTGAAATTTCGGCGACTCCGAAACCTCGCCGTATGTATGCTGTGACTATTACCTCGCGTGGGAATGCTAACATGGTGGATCATCTAGATGGCGCAGCCCTTGAGACCGCGGCAGAGACTGCCAGCCAGTACCTTGAGAAGTCTCGACCTCCGGCGCAAGTTTGCGACAGATGCCATGACCTCATACACCACAACCGTGCCGTTCCTGCTGTGTCGCCATCGATCTATTCCATCCGGGAATACCTTGACGAATCCCCATACAAGCATAACTGGATCTACCACTTGATTGATGCGGCGGATTTCCCCATGTCCCTGGTTGATAATATCTACGAAGCTCTTGCCATCCAAGAGCAGCGTTCGCGGAACCGACGCGCCTCAACGGAGAAGTACAGGGGAGGGAGGAAATTACCGACCATTACATTTGTGATTACGCGCTCAGATCTTCTCGCACCTACGAAAGAGCAAGTCGACTCGAAAATGGAGTACATGCGGTCGATTCTCCGCGAGAAGCTGGCTCAGTCGGACGAGGATTTCCGCCTGGGAAATGTGCATATGATCAGCGCTCACCGAGGTTGGTGGACGAAGAAAGTCAAAGAGGAAATCAGGGACCATGGTGGTGGCGTTTGGGTTGTTGGGAAGGCCAATGTTGGGAAGAGCAGCTTCATTGAAGCGTGCTTCCCCAAGGACTCCAAGAATCTTGAGAAGATCGCGGAGCTGGTTGAACGACGCGAGCAGGAGTCCATAGTTGCGAAGCAACAACATGCTCTGGACCTCAACTCCAACGGCCTTCTACCCCCTGCCCCTCGAGAAGACCTCTATCCCGTCCTCCCGGTCGTGTCATCCTTACCGGGGACGACGGTTTCGCCGATACGTATCCCATTTGGCCGTAGCAAGGGTGAAATGATCGACCTACCGGGACTGGACCGCGGCGAGCTAGTGGATTACGTTCGCGATGAATACAGACGCGACGTGATCATGACGAAACGCAAGAAACCCGAGCGGTATACGGTCAAGCCGGGTCAATCGCTACTTTTGGGGGGAGGACTCGTGCGAATCACCCCTACACACCCGGACGACGTGGTGACGGCCGCTTGTTTTCTCCCGATAGAGGCGCATATCACCAAAACCGAAAAGGCCGTCGAGATGCAGGCGCAAACACGGATCTACCCCGGGGAGAACATCATGAAAGATGGTACCGGGGAATTGATCATGTCCGCGGGGACGTTTGACCTGAAATGGGATGTGACTTCGTCTCATCTCCCCAGGTCAATTGCAAAGGCAGTCGAAGACCGAGGCGTGAAGCCTCCCCCGTTACCGTACCGAGTGATGTCTACGGATATCCTGATCGAGGGCTGCGGATGGGTCGAGCTCACCGTGCAGATCCGAGCCAAGTCCACCAACCCCGCAGACGGCGAGACTCCAAGGTCCCTCCCACAAGTCGAGGTTTTCACTCCCAACGGTCGCCACATCGCCGCCCGGCGCCCCATCGAGTGTTGGAATTTCATCGCTGATAAGATGGCCGCCGATCAGCGCAAGAAAGGTCGTCGAGGTCGGCAGAATATCGGCCAGAAAAAGCGTGTTCGGCAGAGTCTGAATGCCTGAGGTGTATCTGTACATGTCGGTTTTGCATATATTTCTTGCATAGCGATCGGTGTTTGTTGGTTATAGAAGGACGCATCAATGTATAGTATTTGTCAGATATATAGTTAGTGTTAACTAGTTAGTTACAGTTAGGTCTTGGTATACATAAGCACTCCTCTTTCAACAACTCCCGCTGCCAATTCCACCCACTTCTTACAACGTCCAGATCGGCAATTCGCTCAAACTCCCTCAGGGACGCCATCACGGTCTGAACAATAGTATTAAATCCAAGGCAACGACCTCCCGCCTGTACAGTCTCTCGACTTCGATAGACCATCCAGAATATCCGACCCAAAATGCTCTCCTCACGCGGCAAGCAGAACGCAGAAATATTCAACACCCCCTGGAGATACGCACACCCACATACGTATGACAAGGAGACCAATCCAAAAGGCGTGATCTCTTTCGGTCTCGCAGAGCATGTATGCCCACTAGACCATTCCGCATTCCATCTGACTGAAACTGAAGTAGGCCCCTCTACGCACCGACATAGCGGAGTACATCACCAACAAGGTGACATCTTCTCCAGGTACAAAAATCTCCAACTAACCGCTACTCAGGTCGTCTTCACAGAAGATTCAGTCGGCTACAAATCTGCCTCGCCAGCCGCAACCCGTCTTCCAAAGGCGCTAGCATCCCACCTGAATCATCTTCTCCGGCCGATCTCGCCAATCGATCCGGACGAGATCATTGTGGCTAGCGGCGTTACCGCCATCGGGAGCATGCTAGGCTTCTCGTTGGCCGAGCCTTCGGATGGAATCCTCGTCAGCAGACCTGTCTACGGACGCTTCGAGCTGGACTACGGGATCGAGGCGGGCGTGCAGATGGTGTACGCAGACACCGACGTCGACGAGGCGTTCTCGCCGGCTGTGGTGCACAAGTACAAACTAGCTCTCGAGGACGCAAAGGCGCGGGGCATCACTGTCCGCGCCGTGATCATTGTGAACCCGCATAACCCTGTTGGTGGGTGACTCATCCCAGAGGTAGAGGTAGCCGCATTGGATCTGACAAGCTAGGACGATGCTATCCGGTTGAGACTCTACGGGCGATTCTATCATTTTGCAATGAGCATCGCTTGCATTTTATTAGCGACGAGATTTACGCATCCTGCGTGTTTGACTCGGCAGACCCCAATGCGCAGCCATTCACTTCAATCCTGAGTCTGAGCACGCCAGATTTGATTGCCCCTGACCTCGTGCATGTCTTGTACGGTCTCAGCAAGGTATGTCCTTACCCATGCCATCGCGACTACTCTGACAAGAGATAGGATTTCGCCAGTGGCGGCCTCCGCCTCGGGTTCTTGATCACCAAGAATGTAGACTTGCGCCAATCATGCAAAACAATCCTGTTCGACTCCCTTCGAAGATCCCTCGGGGATATTGGCACGCCGCATCTAACGTGAATACAGGCGATTGCACAACGTCTCCGAACTCGCTGTGACCGCTGCAGCAACCATGTTCGAAGACACGGAGTTCATTTCTCAATTCACTGCCAAATCGCAGCACCTCCTCGCGAAAACGTATCGGATTATCACGTCGACGCTGGACAAAGAAGGCATCAAGTATGCCCGAGGAGGGTGAGTCCTTCCCTGACTGTCGAACGATAACAAAATTCTCATGCTGACGGGAACACAGGAACGCGGGATTCTTCATCTACGTCGATCTATCACCTTACCTTCCAGAGGGCGCACAAACTGCCCAGGAAAAGGAGTTTGCGCTGGCACAGCGGTTCCTTGATGCGGGAGTTTTCTTGCACCCAGGCGAGGAGCATTCTAAGACGCCGGGCTGGTTCAGGATGGTGTTTTCGCAGGATGAGGAGGTCTTGGAGGAGGGGCTAAGAAGGTAGGATTGTCCTGACCCTGCGGGAATTATTTACTGACATCTTCATTCAGAATAATCAGCGTTGTTCGAGCTGTGAAATGAACTCGTTCTCACTCCCATGCTACTACAAGCCATGCATATATGTACACGTCCCTCTCCTCGATGTCATAACACTCTGGATCTATATCAGTTACGGTGGTCTCATATAGAACATATATGGTTGTCTAGCCCTGCAACCGGGGTAAAAACGCATCCAAATACCCGAACGAAGAGTCTCGCTCAGTCACCGGCCTCTCATGGAGACCATTCTCCCAAGTAAATCCATAACGAAGGAGCAGCCCAGCCCTCTCCGCGACGATGATAGCACGCTTATCACCAGCAGAAACCTGTCCCGCATTTTCGTAAAATATTTCCCAGAAGACGCTCTCCAGCTGGGACGCATTAGCATGATAATGCCAGCCCTGAGAGTCCATCGTCCCTAGCATACTCAACAGCCCCCACAGCGACATCCCAAACGGCAAGATCATCGCCTCTGCCCAGTCAATGATCCCCGTGATGCCCCCGGCCTCTGGATCGACGAGAATGTTCATCTCGCAGAGGTCCCCATGGCCCAGAACCAATGGATACGATGGCCCAAAGATGATAGGCAGTTCGCCACGAAGATCAGCAATGGCGCGGTGGAAACGCGGAGGGAGCCGTTGCGCCAGCGTATCGAGTCTACCCTGGATATCAGCCAAGCTATACTCCGCGCGATAGGACCCCCCCGCGAGCCGGTTCCGCCACGAACTGGCAAAGAATCTCCTGGCATGTTAGCTGCGGCCTAGTAGCACGCCGGCGCGGGACGCACCTTGCAAGATCCGCGACTGTCCGTTCTTGCCATGCCGGACAACGAAGACTTGCCAGAGACGCTTCGATGTAGGTGATACCAGGGACCTTCTCCATCACGTAGACGGTGAGTGCCGGCGACGGACCGAATGTCTCCTTTGCGACGCAGGCGGGCACCACGTTGCCGTGGATCGTCCGCGCCAGCGCCAGTCGTTCGGTGTCGAGGGGAGAGTGGGAAGCGCGGAACTGGACCAGTAACTTCTCGCCTGCCACGGTGTAACTGAATGACCCTTGGATCGGGACAGGTCGAACAGCTTCCCCGGTAAGCTGGACGGCCTTTTGGTCGCATTCGTCCCGGGTGACGGTGCATCGGGAGAAGAATTCGTTGATTGTACCGTCTAGCGAGTAATATTGCATCTCGGGTCGACTGTGATTTGCATATGTGGGCGATAGAGTGTGTTTTCTCAGGTGAGCTGGGGTTATGAGGGATAAGGGGGTGTTTCTTTGTCGTTGTATGCTGGACGGTGCGTGGAGACAATCATTCGACTGGTCAGGTCAACCTTTGTGCTTCGGTTCTTGACTGTCAACAAACCCCTAAATGGCACATCTATGACCCTGTCAACAGAAATACGCATACGCGGATCTATAATTGCTTCGCTTCGTAGACTGCAGTAGTCCTTTCACAATCGGAGATCGTCTTGGAGGAAAGAACTGGACACCAGAACATAAACCATTGCGCTATGTATTTTTATGACTCTTTAACATAAACCGAATCTAGATCATCTAGACCTCAACAAGATCTAATCTGTCTCCACGTCTACTCGGCAATGTTGGCAAAGTGGAAGCTAGGCTGGCCAGGAATGGCGTTCTCAGCCGCAAGACCCTCCCTCTTCTCACCAGAGCCAAGCACCTCACCGGTCTTGCCGCCCTCGTCAACGGCAATGACCTCGATCTCCCGGCAGCCAGTGGTGCGCTTGAGACCACCGATCATCTCCTTGAGGACATCGAGCTCGTTGAAGGCCAGCTTGCGGTCGAAGACGTTCTCCGGCGCCTCCTTGCCGATGAGACGCTTCTTGAGCGACTGGACGAACGGCATGGCCTTCTTCATCTCGCCGAGCTTGCCGACCTTGGCGTTCAGCTCCTTGTCGTTGAACGAGATGTTCAGCGCATCAAAGGATTCCCGGACCAGGTCGATGTACTTCTCCTGCCACGCGGGGAACTTCTTCGCCGCAAAGATGGTGAGCTTCTTGGGCTTACGGGGGTCGAAGGCCGTGGCCTTGCCCTTGGCAAGCTTCTTGACGAACGCAGCCTCGGCCGAGGTGATGTTCGAGGTCACGCTGCGAACGTAGATGTTTGCGGCGGAGAGCTCAGCAGAGGGTTCTGGGACATCAGGGAAACGAGCATGGTGGATGGTATCGGGCTATGCGGAAGGATTAGCCACTGGGATTCATTCGTAAGGTGAATGGATTCTGACCTTGTTCAGGACCTCGAGCCAGATGTACTCAGACCAGTGAGGAGCGATGATGGCCATGAGGAGAGCTTGCAGCTCAATGTAGCGGAGGATCACGTCCCGATGCATTCCCAAGCCGGTAGCCGTCGCGGCGTCACGGTATTGGTCACGGGCGCTCGTCATATCGTACAGGGCAGACTTCAGAGCGAGCTTGAAGTTGGTGCTGAGACTAGATTAGCAAATGTACAGGTTGACGAAGGGACAAGAGCTTACTCCTTGTAGTGCTTAATGGCCTCGCGGGTAACGCTGTTCATCTCGTTGTCAAACAGCTTGTCCCAGAAAGTATCCGCAGGGCCAGTGCGCAGGGTCTGGTCCTTGGTAATTTCCTCAATCCACTCCTTAAGGGTGTGAAGACGCAGGATGTTGCTGTTGGCAACAGTCTCTTCGAAGTTGGCATCTTCGATACCATCACCAGCATCGGCAAAAGCGATACGAGTAGCGTCAGCACCGAACTTGTCAACAGAGTCCTTCAGGGTGAGGAAGTTGCCTGTGCTCTTGCTCATCTTGTCACCGTTGAGCAGCAAGTGACCGTTGGCACGGACTCCACGGGGCCAGTACTCCGGGGGGAAGAGGGCGACGTGAATATAGAGGAAGAAGGTCAGGTGGTTCTGAATCAGATCCTTTCCGGAGACTCTGACGTCCAAGGGGTACCAGTACTCGAATTCTCTCCGCATCTGCTCCAAAGCGTCTTTGCTGATGCCGCTCTTGGAGACAAGGTCATCGCTGATCTCGCGTCTCGTGAATACGTAGTCCCAGACTTCATCAATCATTTGCTCAGCCTTGATGTTCAGGAGACCCGTCGTGTTGCCGTAACGGTCGCCATGGAGCATGTGTGCGATCGTGTAGTACGCCATGTAGACGGTACTGTCACTCAAACTCTCGACGAGGAACTGAGGGTCCCAAGGGAGCTTGGAACCAAGACCGTAGGTTCTGGCGCAAGCCCAGCGGTTCAGCCAACTCAGGTTCTTCTCGAAACCGTTCTTGGTCTCGTTCGTATACGTGTTGAGGGTGTTCACAACGTGGTTCAGGGTGTCCTGCTGCCACTTGGCGTCGTTCTCTCCGTAGTTCAGGAACCATTGGCCCAGGAAGGCAACAACACAGTCGTCTCCACTTCGGCTGACAACCTTGCCCATGGGGTCGGCGAAGGCGAAGGCATCGCCGCTGTCGTAAAGGGACTTGCGAATCTTATCCTTGGCAGCGCTCACGGGCTCACCCTTGAACTCGCCAACGAGCATAGTTCCCTTGTAGAAAGCTTCTCCGTAAGCCAGTTCCTTAGCCTGAGCCAGCTGGTTGGCATCCTTGGGCGAGTTGATCTTCAACTGCTTGACCAGGGTGGGAGCAGTCAGGTTTCCGTACGTCGGAGTCTCAATGAGAGGGAAGATCTCAAGCTCAGCCCACTCCTTCTTGATACCATAGTAGTCAGCCTTCTTAGCCAGATCAGCCAAGGTAGCGTAGTCATCCGGGCTGTCCGAAGGCACGGAGGTAACAACACCAGTACCCTTGCTGGCAGAGACAGACTCCATGGGCAGAATGCGAACACCCTCCTTATGGAAAGAAAGGGGGGCATTGACAAGGGTTCCGACGTAGGCGGATCCAGGGGCCTCAAGGACAAGCGGGAGCTGGTCCTGGGTCTTGGGGAAATGCTCGGTATCATTCTTGAAGAAGATGCCCTGGAAGGCCATGTTCCAGGCGGCTCTCTTGGTGCAGACGTAGTATTCCTTCTCGCTGACCCTGAAAATACCGTACTGAATCTTGGGGCCGAGGAAGCAGCAAGTCTGGCCATACATGGTCTCGGGCCGCAGAGTGGCGGGGACAAAGTACACGCTAGCATCGTCCTCAATCTTGCCCTTGACCAGCTCCGCGATCTCGGGAGCCCACTCCTTCACCTTCAACTTCATAGCAGTGTATTCCTGAGGTCCGATACCCTCACCCTCAGTCCGGTCGTGGTCCATGCAAGGTTGTCCGTCCTTGGGAGAGTAGATGGTGTAGCGGTTGCCATACTGGATCTTGCCCAGCTCATGCAGGCGGTTCATCTGCCAGCGCACGAAAGCGTCGTAGTACGGGTTCGCATCCGTGGTGACGAACTGGCGACGCCAGTCGATTCGGGCACCCAGGCTGTCGAGATCGCGGATGGCAAGAGGAGGGAAGTGGTGGAGCCAGTGGTTGGCGTCGGCGAACTTGTGGATTTCCTCGAGGGGGATACCGATGGCCAGCATGATCTGGAATTGGTACTTCATCTTGACGGTCTTCGAGGCGGCCTTGCTCTTCTTTCCGGAAAACTTCTCCTGCTGCTCGTTCTTGACCTCTTGCGTGGGGGCAGCGGGGGCCTTCTCCTCCGCCTCGTCTTCCTCCTTGTAGCCCTCGAAGTTCTGACCAAACTTCTTGACTTCATCGGAAAGCTTATCGGCGCAGGCTTTGATCGGCATACCCGTGCAGTGGAAACCCAGAGGGAACAGGGCGCGCTTGCCCTCCATGTTGGCGACACCGGCCATGAACTCGACCTTGCTAGCGGTGAAACTGTGACCCGCGTGCAGGGTACCGTTCATGTAGGGATAGGCCATAGTTCCGAAGAACTTGGGGTACTTTTCACGGAGTTCGGCGGCGGACATGGAGCCCACAGGGACCTCCGTGGTGGAGGGGGCATCGACCTCGAAAACCTTGTCTGCCTTCCATTTCGCCTGGTACTTCTTCTCAATGGCAATCAGGGTATCTCTCTTCTCGGTCTATGGGGAGAGAGAATGGTTAGCTGGGGATGCGACACTCGGAAGAAAGTGGAGGAGGGGCGGAGGAGGGGGAATGATAGTACATTTTCGAGTTTGAGAGTGTTCTTGGCGCTGTTGCTCGGATCGAGCGCAGCTGCAGAGGCAGCAGCGGCTGTCATGGCTCTCAGGATGTAGTCTTCTGTGTTTGCAAACCAAAAGACGTCGAGCCCAAAAGGCGGGGAGAAATTCGATCGTTATCGATTGTTCTGAGTCAAAAGTCTTCTCTTTCGGGTAATGTGGGATGGTCCTTCACCGCCTACCGCTTCCAGACACCCCTCCATCGGAGTATACAAGTGCCACTTGAGCATCAATCTCGACATGCTCCTAGCTTGGAGGCTGAGTTTGTTTGACATTATCTCTTGTCCCATCATGGAGGTATACATTCGCAGATTGGAGCATCCTGTGGAGGGTGCCCAGCTGATTGGACGATAAAGAGACCCATAACTTCCAAATGAACGAGTTACTTAAAGTGCTTCTAATCCACATACTCCGTACGCCAGTGACCCGTGTAACTATCATCAAAAGAATCAGACTAGTTCTTCACGTCCCGTCCGCTCTCCATCATTCATCTCCATGCCCACTGCTTGAGCCTGCTCCCCTATGCTCCCGGATTTGCCCGTCGAGTGTAAACTTTCACCAGGCCGCCTCCGCCATCTGAATCTCCCACAAGCCCGACATCCTTCCAAAGAGCGAGAGTCGTTCCTATATAGATGTTTATTATGTGAAGTCACGAACAACTGTCTAAACGCTGCCATGCAGGAAACAACAATGGCTGAGTGGCGTGAGCAACCTAAACCTCGATAAAAAGGCAAAGTAAACCTACAGATGCTCAGTTCCACAAAACTCCAGAAATACAGCCACGTCACTTCGAAATTCGTATCAGACGACCGATTGACAACAACACGGATGATGGACACAGCAATGGTGATCACGATCACTGAGAAGACAGCGCCCAGAACGAGCTTTTTACGCAATGGAAGACGCACTTCCCAAAGGATTAGAATAGGAATAGACAAGACTATCATGCAGAGATCGTTAGCTTCAGGCATTATTGGGGATGAGGAGTCTCACTCAGTAAATCTGTGGCAACATCCACAGCGAAATTAACGTAGGAAGAGTAGTTTTCAAAATGAATGTGAGCTGGGGTCAGGCAGTTTGCTTTTCGTTTCCTGATGGTTATCATTCTGCCAAGTTTCAGTGTCTCCAAGATGAAAGACTTACAAATGATATAATCCGGACTCTCCTGGGAACACTTGTAATCAAAATCCGCAATGGAGACAATGACTCCAGCAGTTGTTATGGCAGACACCACCCACCACCAGATGCGGTGGCTCGTAATCTTCGAGCCGAGGTTGTAGAAGAAGACGAGGAAGGAGAACTTGATACACCACAGTCCGATGTAGTATAGAATCATTAAAGGCGCTAGAAAATGTACAAAATCACTATATTGATCGTCAAACTCCTTCATCCATTGTGCCGCTCCCTCGTCGACGAGGTCGTGGTAGTAAAAGATGGATGAGTTGGCCTGCCAGATGACAGCGGTCGCCAGCAGGATAGTCCAAGCGGTTACAACCAACAGATCATCTGGGTAGAGTCGCCGGGACTGTGCTAATCGGACACTGAGGCGGAAGATCACGAAAAAAAGAGAGAGGCCCGTGAAGGTCCAGATGATGGCCTGGACTGTGATTTAGTTCCTCGGCCTGAGTACTATAACGACTTCGGGGTTGCACACACCAGGAAGGTCGGTTTAGCTATGCGGGTACCAGGAACCACCAGTGTATCTTGAGATGTCGACATATCTATGCCGTCTAACGCCGTGGATAAGGGAATGGACTCCGGGATCTATGACCAGCTGCGGCCCATGGCGGCCATATATCGGATGGACGGGAAACGAGCGATTACTCTGTGGCAAGGCTTAGTGCTCACTTTCACTCGGCTCACACGGCCGTGAAACAAGCAAGCAATCCTCCAAGCAGAATTGTAAGACAGTCTGGTCCGTGACTATTGGTGCGTTCACTCATGGACGTTACACTACAGTACTACAGTACCAATTGATGCTACGCCTAGGGCTATGATGCAGCTCACCTGCGCCATTCAACATTCTCGAGAGATGAAACAACTTGGAATCCGTGCTGAATTTCATAGACCACAGTGTCTTCGTTCGAGTTGCATGAGAGGGAGAATTATCAGGCTATCAGTGCATTTGCTGAAATCGAGGCTGACATTCCACCAGTGCCTCCATGCCAGTCAACTTGTGCTCTGAAGGCTTAGACACCCCTTGCAGACGGAGGTACAAGCCGCTGCCTCTCGCCTCTCATTCCATGCTCTCAGTCTGGCTTATGAGTGCCACAACATGTTTTCGCTTCAGACTTGACCGGCAGTATTGGCGCTCGTATGTGGAAGTGGCATCGATGGGACGATAGAAGACAAGGAGATCATGAGGATCAGGGAGAAAGTACGACTATATGTACCTGGTAGAGTAAACTCAATTCACAATTTCTGTCGCTATAAGGGAGTATAGAGATCTTCAACCTATTTTGAAGCATAATGGCGATACCAGCATGCCCTGAAAATGCTTCGGGTCGGCTTAGCTATATATATCGGAGCAACAACACCAAGAAATACGACCATCCGCTGATTACTAGAACCAAATATAAAGAACTAGACAGATGACGATATACAGGAGACCTTATCTATCATATAATCTTCGCATGAACGCTCGAAATCGACATGACACAGTTCCTGCCTGAGGTCCCAGGCACCAACAGACCCTCCCGTGACCGACCATTTTTCCAACCATCGCGATAAGATCAAAGACTCCCAAAGACCTCCGATCTTCTTCACCACCCACCACCACATCTCCCACGCAGTCCATCATGTCCAAACCACCGGTACGTCATCGTGCCAAGGCTACAACAAAACACTCCTAACAAACCCACAGACTCTCCGCCCCCAGGCCATCCAATCCCGCATCTCCCACCTCCTCGCCCACTGGCCCGCCGACCCTGTCCGTCCAGCCTCCGTCTCCGTCCACTCCTACCTGCAGGCGCGTCTCGCCGAAGTCGATCCGACCAAGCAGTCGCAGCAGCAGCGCACAACAACCCAGACGACACAACCACCGCCAACACCGGACGCTCAGGGCCTGTCGGAGTCATCGCTCAATGCGCTTTCGTCGCTGCTGGAAGATCGCTACGCGCGCCGCTACCCACTGTCGCCGCGGTTGCGTCGGCCGCCCAGTGACCCGGACTACTATGATAATCTGATTCGGGAGTTTGAGGAGGCGCCGTCGCGAGACTGGTGGGGACGGTTGGGGAAGCGGGTGAAGGGGTTGTTCCGGTTTACCTAGGGGTTTACCGAGAGGTATAATCGGTGTACGAGTAGAGGGTTATTTATTTCGGACTGTATTATCAAATTCGGATTGTGGGCGTTGCGCTCCCCGGATGTGGGAAGGAAAAGACATGTACATATACGACTCATCTCAATCGACTTGGCATTGACGATTCCATTGCTATATACAATCTGCCAGTCCCGGCATGGAACACCGCTCATATCCATACATGCAAAATGCTATCGTCGTAAAAAGACAAGAAAGAAAAAATTTCTACACGCTTACAGCATGGGCTTCACATCATCGGCCACCTTGAACGGCGCCCCGGTCTTGCTCCGCACCTCGTCGACAGTCACACCGTCCGCCAGCTCGACCAACGTCAGACCGTCCGTGAAGTCGACGTCGAACACGCACAGTTCCGTGATGATCCGGCTCACGCAGGTCTTTCCAGTGAGAGGGAACTCGCACTGCTTGACGATCTTGGGGTTGCCCTTCTTATCAGTGTGCTCCATCGTCACCACGACCTTGGTGGCCGACGGGTTGGAGACAAGGTCCATCGCGCCGCCGAAGCCCTTGATCTTACCAGGAAGCATCCCTATCAACGCATTAGTATCCTGACCCTGACAATGTGTCTTGGGAACGAGGGGGTGGGGTGTGAGCCAAGGGAACTTACAGTTGGCCAGGTCGCCGCGAGCGCTCACCTGCATCGCGCCCAGGATAGTCAGATCGATGCGGCCGGAGCGGATCATACCGAAGGACTCGTCACTGCCGAAGGTGGCCGCACCAGGGAGAAGGGTGACGGTCTCCTTGCCAGCGTTGATGAGATCAGGGTCTTCCTGTCCCTTCTTAGGGTAGGGGCCCAAGCCGAGAATGCCGTTTTCAGACTGAAGCTGGACCTCGACAGAGGGGTCGACGAAGTTGGGGGCCAGCATCGGCATACCGATACCCAGGTTGGCGTACATGCCATTCTTGAACTCCTTAGCGGCACGGCGGACGATACGTTCGCGCTTGGCGGCGGTATCGCCCTTGCCCAGAGCAGCAGTGTCGTCGCCCTCGTCCTTAGCGAAGGTATACTTCTCAATGTTCTTAGGGGCGGTGCTCTGGACAACGCGCTTAACGTAGATACCGGGAAGATGGATGGCAGCGGGCTCGATCTCGCCAGGTTCAACGATATGCTCGGCCTCGACAATAGTCATCTTAGCATTACGCCCCATGGCGCCGTTGAAGTTGGCGGCCGCGAAGCGAAACTGGCAGTTACCCAACTTATCGGCCTTCCAGGCCTTCACAAAGGCGTAGTCGCCCTTAATGGCCTCCTCCATGACGTAGCTCTTGCCGTCGAAGACCTTCACGTCGCGGGGCTCGCCGTAGACGGCGACCGTTCCATCAGAGTTGTGTCGCAGAGGCAGCTCGCCCGTCTGGACAACCGTGCCAAAGGCGGCAGGGGTATAGAAGGCCGGGATGCCTGCACCGCCGGCCCGGCACCGTTCCGCCAGGGTACCCTGGGGCGTCAACTCAAGCTCAATTTCACCCGTCAAGTACATGCGCTCAAAGGTCTTGTTCTCGCCGACGTAGCTGGCGACCATCTTTTTGATCTGCTTGGACTCGAGAAGCAGGCCGAGACCGGCACCGTCGACACCGGCGTTGTTGCTGACCACGGTAAGGCCCGTGATCGACGGATTGGCCTTCACAGCATTGATCAGAGTATCCGGGACACCGGAGAGACCGAATCCACCAGCCAACAGCGTCGAGTTGGATTTCATGTCCTTGACTGCGAGCTCTGCCGATCCAACGACCTTGTTGATCTCAGGCCGAATGATCGTGCTGGAGAAAGCGCGAGCAAGAAACCGTTGGTGCTAAATTCAAGGAGACTGTCAGCGGCTTTCCTTGGTTCAACTTGCGGGCCACTGGGAGCCTCTACCTTGCTTGGGTTCGCAGAGAACTGGCGCGCGAGGCGCAGACACGTCGCCACTTGGGAAGGCATAGTGACTGACTAGTGAATCTAGGGTATCGTAGCAGATAGAAGCTTCCAACGTCGACCAAACTCGGTGGCTGATTAAACAGCAGCCTGGGTCAAAAGCTGCGGCGGAAGATCTCCAGACAGACAGACAGATGAGAGGAGAGAGTCACTTGGCAGAAGAAGTCGAGAGGGTCGGGGTCTTATATTGGGAGCTGGCGGGCGGGTTGATGCGGAGTTGCGGAAAGTCACCGGCGCTCTTCCCCGGAATTTCCCCGCACTGCTTGGAGAGAGTATGGTAGCTCCGATTCGATATTGTCACGACACTATATCTATAAGTCTACTCTATCTTGCCTATCTATATTGATCTCCTCTCATTAATTTCTCTCAGCCAGGGCGGGTTCCTTCACTCTCCCGATCGGACAGTCCGCTCCCTACACAAATGCAGAGCTGCAGGGCCGCCTCCGACCGACGTGGACCACCGGCGGCAGCAGGGCGGGTTGCGCTCCCCGTCCCGATCCGCGGGCCGCAAGCCGCTGACTCAGCATATGCAGCAGAACGCAAGAGATGCAATCAATCAAACAAACAGGGTATGTTAGATAGGTACAGATATGTACAGTACGAGATGAACGGACATGATCGAGATCGACATAATCACATGTATTCATAAGGTTCATCGGACAATCGCTCAGGAACGTAAGGTGGTGTGGGTGATAATCGAGGTAGGACCAAGTCCACTGCGCCATCCTCGTCCTGACAAACAGCAAGGGATGACCGGAGCAGGAGGCCGGCCTCAATGCGGTGCACTATGCTGAGCCCCGTCTTGGGTATTCGAGGTTCGAAGCATCGTCAATCTCTTTGCGTTTCAATGGGTTTGGCGTCGCGGCTCGAGCCGGTGTTTGATACTCAGAGCCTACCATTGCACATCCTCGACGTTAGTCTCTTTCGGCGTCCATTCTCCACTCACGGCATCCCGATTGCCTTCTGCCCCGGCCGGGCTCTTCCCCTTTTCTGCTACATAATGGACTTCTCCCGTACCTGATGTGCCCCCGTCCGGCCAAATCTCATCGTACGCGGGCGGCGGGTTCATGTCGACATCTTCGCTTGTTGACGGCCCTATAGCTGTCGTGGTCGTCGTGGCAGCTTCGCTTTGTTCGTTTGATGGAGGCTGCTCCTGCACAACCCGGTGCACAGGGTTGACCAGGCGGCTCTTCATGTCATCGTTGACATAGACTAGAAAGTAGGGCGTGGGTGGGTTCGCCCGCTCCTGGTTCGCGAAGATCTCGTCTATATCTTGAACTTCGGTCACATATTCGTCGTTGTACTTTCTCCACACATCGCGCTCAAAGTCGAAGATGTAGATCCAATAGTGACCGAAGGAGACAGACCCCGAATGGATGAAGACTGCGTACAGCCGATAGGCCAAGCTTCTATAGTCGGCAAACTGGCTGGAAATCATTGACTGGAGGTTCTTGATTTCTTGGTCGATAGCTGCAAGACAGGTCAGCCATAGACGGCCCTCAAGGAGAGAAAGGGCGAGACATACAGCTCAACTCGGATCTGGCCGCTTCAGAAAGTCGGGCAAGACCGGAAGATATTTCCGGATCAATATCAATAGCGTCTGCGGCAGTGTCTACAGAGTCTTTCATAGTGTCCAGATCGTCGAGGACTTCCCTGGCACTCTCAAACAAGGCTGGCATGTCGAATCCGTCCGCGTCCTGTAGCTCATGTCAGACAGTCTTCTTGCCACTCTCGGGTCCATGATCATACATTTTTGCGTAGTAACTCATTCCGGCGCGCCTCAAGTTGTCTTAAAGTTTTCTTCCACTCCCAGCACTGACGTCGTCGGTTCACCACTTCTGGCTTTTGGGTGTCCATGTACCGATCCATGTAGATCGTCTCCTTCAACTCCAGGTGATTGGTGGATTTGAACGAACGCTTCTTGACGGGATCAAATTGGACACGCTGGACTTGGATCTGGAGAATTGGAGGAATCCTGCTGATGGCGCCATACTGCTCAGCGACAGAATCGCCCACATTCACTTTCTGCACATCAAACGCGCCATCAATGGCGGCGTAGATATCACGGGATTCCGTTGCAACGTCGACCTTGATGTCGCACCACCATTCTTCTTTGGATCGCACGCCTTCCTTGGAAAGAATGTACGATTTGGCCTGCCCATAGAATAAGCTGGCGAGATTTAGACCATTAGTGTGAATCTTCAATCTTGGGGCGAGCTAACTCACTTTTTGACTAAATCCTGCTGCTCACCGTCAGGAGCGAGCGAATCTGGCTTGATGGCACACTGGCTCTGGAAAAGCACATTGTTGATTACTTCGGTCACATCCTGCTGCGCACCAATTTCGACCTCTTCCTTGAGTTGCCTTTGTGGATCGGGTGGTGGAACTGGTCGCGGTGGGACTGGCGGGGGCTGATCAGGGATTGGGGTGGTTTCTCTAGGACCCGTGGTACCTTTAGGAGAACCACTCTCATCCGCTTCCAGTGTTTCTTTGGCTGGGGCATCTGCCATCACAGTGTCAACAGCCGGAGGCTCGTTTTCCTTGTCATCATGGTGAGGCGTAGATGTGTCGTTCTTATTCCCATCCGAAACCAATGTCAACTCGCTGTCGACATCGCTTACTGTTGAGCGTTGTATCTTTTCCGCCTCGTGAGCTGCAGCCCCCTTGGGTTCATTTTCTGGAATTGCCTGCGGAGGTCCGAGAGGTCCAAGAACCGGCATGCCGTCGAGTTCACCAAGACCCGCTGGTCTATTGGCAGTTATCGTCGACCGACGACGTATGGCCGCTTCGTTCGAAGGACTAATCAACGTCAAGCGTGCTAATTCCTGACCAGGAGTAACACACGACGATGGTGACGTGATCATATTGTCGAACAGAGTCCGAAGTTCACCGAGGACTACAGGCGGATCAGTACGTCAGATCCAATAGTTAAGAGGCAGCAAAGCACTTACAACGTTGAGATCGCTCAATCTCCTTTTTCGAAACCTTGCGAGAGCCGACCTGCTTTTTGCCTAGGGTCTCATCTGTGATTTCCATTTTGAAGTCCTCGAAGTGCAGGACCATGTCGCGAAACGGCCGAATCGAAAAATAGAACTGCAGTAAACTATTCAGGTAACAGGTGTTCCCGATGTTCTGCAAGCCCACTGGCCACTCTGATACATTGCGGTCTGATTTGCCTAAAGGACCGGACACCAGACTGCTCAAGAAGGTACTGTTCTTGTCGTTCGCGATTAGTTGCAAGGCTTGGTTGTATTTTTCGGCCTGCGTCGGTGCTTCGTCTACACAGATTGTGTATGCCGCCATAATCGCTGTCTCATCTACCGTGCGGTCAGGTATCTGGAGAAGCCGGTAAGCATCAGCGACATCCATTTCTCCCGCGGTCGTTTCGCCAGTCTTGAAGAAATGCTTCAAGGCAGCGGAGTTTCTTGCATCTGCAATGATCTCGACGGCGCGCCTTGCCAGATCTCTGCTGGTTGGACTGTCGTTGACCTTATTGGCATTAGCTAACCGCCACATCTTTCAGAGTTCAGCTGTAGTACCTTGGCAGTGAACATGGTCATCACGAAATCATCGTTTGTGTTCGCGTCGACACCGAGAAATATATACGCTTGCTCTAAAGTAGCGACTCCTGCCGTTGACATCAGCAGCCATTTCCTCAGACAGTATCGAGGGCTCCCCGACGATTCTTACTTTCTTCTGCTGCCGACTTGATCCGATCGCTCCCTCTGCTATCGCCTATTCTCCAAAGCTGCGTGCGGGTCTCAGTCTCTTGGTTGGTGGCACTCAAGAACGCGTAGAATTTTCCGATAATGTTGTCGTCTGTGATTCGTTTGTCGCCATGGCTCAATCCAAAATACTTATAGGCATCGATGACATCGTCGTCGGTATATTTCCCTTCTGAATAAGCCAGTTGGACCGCCGTGTCAATGATGGCTTCGTCTTCGCCGCCTCTGAGGGTTCCAATCGTCTTCAGACACTTTAAATAAAGTGACGTTCGTGCTGGGTCTACTGAAACTTGGCGGTTATAAGCCTCAACTATGGAGGTAGAAGACATGTCTTCCACAACCCCCAAGTCTTCGTAGACGCTGGACGGTACATCAGTATATCTATTCTGAATAACTGTACATAACCAGTGGGACGAGAGGGGACTAACGGTGCTGATGCCAATTGAAATTCTTCCAGGCGTGAGGCTTTCCCATCTGTTGGCGTCATTAGTCCTGAAATGCCAATAATAGCTGGTAACGACTCACAGTTCGAACTGCCTAGCGCTTCAAGCAGCTCGCTTTTTGCTGAGTGATATGTAGATTCTAGTTGATGGCCTTTTTTCTCCAGAGGTGGCCTCTGTTCTATGAGGAGCGTAAGCTCGTGTATCACATCGTCGAGGAAGACCTTGAGGGGGTCGCGGTAGGGAAACTCAGCCCACGCATTGGGTCGAGGAGGCTCCCATGAGTTTTCGTGCTGATGACATGAGCAGCGGTACGGTATATTATAAGGATCCGGAGGCACAAACCTTGACAAAACCAAGGAATTCTAAGAGATCTTTACAAGGCATTCCTTCCACACCGAAACATGACATGAAACGCTTGTTGATCGCGGATATCGATTTGCTCTGCTGGCTATTGTGAAGAGCGTTGCTGATGTACGTGCGCAGATTCAATAGGACATTGATCGGCTGTGGCCGTCCAATACCTTCCATCCTGTCGGGCTGCGCTGCAATCGCCTCATCAGCCCTTTTGTATACCACGTCCAGATCGGTCAACATTTGCACCCATTCTTTGTGCAGGACCGGCGAGAAGACCCGTACAGTCACGGCGGCAGGACATGCAAGGTAGGAACACTCGTAATTGTACGTCTCGGCAGTCTGCCCTTTGCTTGTGACTTCGGGTGGTGCAGCATTGTTTCCTGGTCTTCCTGATTTATACACCAGATGGTGGACATGGTTTTGGCGACCCTGACTCGGCTGACCGATTCCAGGAGTAGAGCTCACAGTCACCTGAAAGTGGTATCGGCATTTTGAACATACAGCGGACACCTTTGTCGGAGTTCCTGTCGTACCCTGATCCGGCCGGGGCAGATAAGTTTGATTCGATTTAGTCAGGTAGATGTGGCGGCAAGCTGAAGGGGAGATAGTGTCCAGCGGCTGTCCATGGTAATGCTCAGGATAGACCGGAGGGACATCGGAGAGTAGATTTCGGCCGGTGTCCGGAGGATGGCTTGGATCGTATTCGAGGATATCTTGTACAAGACGTGGGGCAGTCTTGCCTGTGAGAGCGTATCACGGACTGGTTAGCACAGAGGGTACGAGGGGAAGCTTGCAATATCACTATTAACAAGAAATCTGTACCTGATCTTTGAGGAGACGACATGAGTAGGCTCCGACGAGCTCACGCGAGTCGAAGGATCAGTTCAAAAGACCCAGTAGGCGTTGGAGAAACCTTTCCATGTAGAGATGTCGGCAAGAAGTAGAGAGTTACCCGGGATGCAAACTTGGAGCGATGGAATTCTGGTGCTCCTCTTGAGTCGGGAGAAGATGACGATACAGCGGGGACCGCAATACTAGTTGGTTCAAGCGGGCAGCAAGCTTGGCAATGGTTCACGGCACGGAGCTGGGTCACTTTCGGCGGGGGAGAAATTAAGATGATGCGAAGCTGGAGATCAGGAATGTGAGAAGAATGTCCCTCCGATCTACACCTAGACCAAGGGATGGGAGCATCGGTCATCTGGTCAAGCAGTATAGTCGTAGCACCGGAAGCTTCCCACCTTGGGCGGGTAAGGCGGTGTCGCGCGGCAGAACGGACGACGTCCAAAATCCCATCTCCTCTACCATTCCCGGATCGCCTCGACCTCTCGTTGCGCTCGATCAATTCCAACCCCCTCCTCCTCCGCCAACCGCCACCATGACCACACATACCGAAGACCACAGTTACCACCCGAAAGATGCGATTGGAGCCTCTTTGAAGACCACCATGCTCACTGGTGGAGTGGGTCTTTTCGCCTCGGCCGTCCAGAACACCCTTGTCAGGAAGAACGTTGGCCCATGGGGTGTCTTCGTGCGGAGCGGCGGCACCATCGGTGTTTTCGGTATGGATACAATTGGAAGGGCTCTTTGGTGAGGCAATGTTGCTGACCATGGATTTCCAGCTGCGATGGGAGGTACCTATGAGTTCGTGAAGACCGCGTCGGCCAACCTACGGGAGAAGGATGATCACTGGAACGTCGCTTTGGGCGGTTTCTTCTCTGGTGCGATCTTGGGTCTGCGAGGTTTGTTCCCTTATCTACCGAACCTTAGAGCTTTCTATGATAGGGCACCGGTCTGATAGAATTGTACAGCACGGACGTTCCCCGCCCTCCTGGGCTACGGTGCTGCTCTGGCCACCGCCATGGGCGCCTTCGAGTACACTGGTGGCTCCCTGTGGGGTTACAAGAAGGACACTGATGTTGACGAATTCGAACGCCGTCAGCAACTGCGGAAGGCGTACCGGACTCCGGCGGAACAGACTTTCGCTGAACTGGGCGAAGGACGGGGTAGGTTTACTATGCCATGATCGTGTTTGATGTGGCTTCAGATTTCACTAACTGGTATCGCAGGTATCTATGGCCCCGGATATGCAGAGAGACGGGCTGAACGCATCAAGGAGACATACGGCATTGACGTCCCCACGTCCCAGGTTCCCGCGTCGTGAAATTGATTTGATTGATATTCCCTGTCCAATCTGCCGATTCCCTTTCTCCTTGTGTAAAATTACCACGCCACGTCGACCACCTTTAGCTAGCATCTTTCACACATCCTCCAATGAAGGTTTCCTTGTTCTGTTGATCATGGTTCACTGCGGTTGAATGGTAATGCGGAGAGTGGACAACCTCATAAAGGGAGATCGGGCCAATTGACTTATAACATTCGGCAGGGACAAGTGGTAGGAAAAGAGCAGTTCACTGGCGCAGCCATGCGTGCACTACGGGTTATTGCCTCAATTGTCATGGCCGAAGTACTCCAGCGATGTATGAAAGCGTGCGCACGACTGATGACATCTGGACCGCTGGGGAAAGGAGGACGCCAACCAATCACAGTGCGAGCTTATCAAATCAATCTTCGGTATCACGTGACTCCACACGCCTCTAAGGTATTCGGGAATATCCGCACTACCACCGGGACTATACAACTCTTCCTATGATGAGGAGAATTACCAGGGGACTGTACAAGAGTAGCATCCACCGCATCATCAATAAGAACATCAACAATCGTTACAGTGTGGTGTTTTTCTTTGACGGCAACCTGGACTACAAGCTGCGACCTCTGGATAGCATTGAGGAGGAAGTCCAGGATGAAGATGTGCTCACTGTGGAGGAACATATGTTGGAGCGCACGACCACCACTTATAGCGAGAAGAGAGACTGATCTGGCCACCCGTTCTACTCGGTTTGGTCGATTAGTACTACCCAGGATGCTTTCGCACAAGATGAGTCACAGGCAACTCACACAGCTCATGGACAGTAATACATTCGTTCAATCGTTAAACGTATTGGCAAGTCCCTTATAAGACTTCATACACATACAATAGACACAATCATGGCGCGGTAGAACTTTCCCTTGCCAAGCCAATCGAGGCGGTGGTACATGACAGCTCTAGCAAGTGAATGTAACTCTGGCTTGGGTCATTAACATTCTTTAGCTGCCGAAACGTCTGCAGGAGCTCTTGAAGCAGAGAGTTGAATGCCGCGTCCGTGCCTCGATTGCTGTATAGGAACTCGGCACTGAGCAGTAACGGGATGGGCATGAGGGGATGGACCTGTTGTCACATTAGTCTCTGCAATGAACGCCGCATGGGAGCGTTTCTACCTTGAAGAAATGAAACTCCGTTAGCCCCTTTGCTAGCTTGACGATCTCCTGCGCTGCGTTCAGGGCACGCCGCTGATACTCCACGACCCACGCCCCTTCATCAATAGCCCACACGACGGACTCCATACCCTTGTAGAGATGAATCACACTCGCCTGACCCATGATATGTGCGAAGGAGAGCATGGGGTCGCAGATCTGCGTGGGAGACGGGTAGTACTGGGAGAGGATCTGGAGGCGGTTGTTGAGGAGGCTGTCGAGCCACTGGTGCTGGTCGGTCCAGTTGGGGGCCGTGTCACCGTAGATGAAGCGCACGCTGTATTGCTGGGCGTGGAACAGGCTGCGGCCGCAGATGGTGGCGAGGATGACGCATTCGTTGAACGGGGACGTTGTCTGCGGTTTGACGTCCATGATTGCTTCGGACAGGAAAGCGCCTAGCACCGGCTGGCCGCTTTGGAACTCCCTCTCCGGCGCTGGGAGACGGGTGCAGATCTGGCCATAACATGGAGTTAGGTTGGATCGCTCTGGTTGTCTAGCGTTGTAAAGAAAGACAGGAGCCTTACCACGTGCTCGTTCAGGGTGATCGGCCAGTTGTTACGCATGCTGAACAGGTGGTCCAGGAAATAGGCCATCCAGAAGACCCGACGCTTCTCCTCGGTCTCGACCAGGTCGGCCTCGGGCACAGGCGGTTTCGTGGGACTGTCAAGCTCGTGAAGGCGCATCAGTTGCACGAGCCGAAACGCACGGCCGGCGCTCATCCACGCGGAGCGATGGAAGGTCCGCATGGACTCGTACGTTGCGATCAGAATCCATGCCTGGATCTCTTCCGTGTCCACCGGCGTGTTAGAGTCGCCTGAGAGATAGGAGAGTTCCAGCGTCCGCTTCGTCTCCTTGTAGAAGGAGTCTTGCAGGTGCTGGAATTGAGCAGAGAGGAGAGACGCCAGCGTCCAGACTGCGTACTGCAGACACCGGCGAGATGTCCTCTTCGCGGCGTTTCTTGCCCAGCTCAGATATCGACGCTGATGGAGGATCTGGACCGACAGGTGAACGCGGTCAAAGTACAGTTGGTTCCTGGCCACCCATCAGCCTAATTTAAAGAAGAGCATGCAAGAAGCTTACAGCTCTGCCTGCATCAGCTCGGTCATCGGCTCTACACCCCCGATTTCTTTGTTGCATATCGCGATCGATGGGGCAGAACTGACGCTTGTCATTGTGTTCAACAGTGTGATATCGGGCTCGGAGACAGTCATACTCTCGGTGATGAGCGGCGGCGGAATTGATTCAGCAACACTCGACGCGCTGGACACATTGGTGCCATCGGGTGGATCATCGGTCAACGGGGTCGACAAAGGGTTGAATGCGGACACAGGTGCGCGATGATGCTGCGCCGCCAGCCGATCCTCGAGCATTGCTGTGATGATGAGCCTCAATCAGCCCTGATGCCATGACACTAGGGTTCGTCGCATGTACCGACTCGGTTCCTCAACGCCTTTAAGTATCCTTTCTTCGGGCCCCGCGGCTGGCGCTGGCTGTTGACCTCGCATGTCACGTCGGATTCTACACACACTCCGCACCGCGGTTGCTGGCCATCGCAGCGGAGCTTGCGGCGCCGGCACTCCTCGCACGCTCGTCCTGTCCTCTGTCGCTGTCTTGTGGAGGGCCTGGGGGGCTGTCGATGTACGGTAGAGGCCATTTCGCGGGAGAGCATGATGCGATTCGACGGGAGCTTTCACGTGTGTACCAGCGGACAGGAGCGTGGGATTGACCAACTATATCCTTTCTGCTGATGGGCAGATTAGGACCATATGGTCTGGGCGTTGTTCGAGCCGTTTGGCACTGCAGTGTGAGCACTAGTCGCGGTAGTGCTGACCGGTCTGCATCGCTCTTCAGGCACCTCAAATCCGCCCAGGATTGAGTGTGTACACTCCAACAAGTGCAGCAAGCATGCAAGGTGTCTGATAAGATAGAGCGAAAGAACAGAGTCCTCCAGGTTCAATAGTTTGATGTTCAGAGGCAGCTGTGGAGGAGGAGGTTAATGTGTCAGACAAAGACATGGAGAATGCTGGTTGCTTACAAATAACGAGGCCCCTGAAAGGCCTCCTATAGTCTCGCATTTCTAAGCGCAAGAACAGGGTCTCGTGCAACAGACGATGGACCCCGTCAACGAGACCATCTTGACCAGCTTGTGGTGGATGAGGGCCTGGGGTACCTCAACCTCCAGCACGGGGACGGCCCGCACGACGTCGGCGGGGAATACTGACTGCAGGATCTCGACGATGCGCACCAGCGTCAGAGGGGCTTGCTCGCCGGACTTGAGCACCATCGTGTTGCCCGCCGCCAGTTTGCCCCGGGGCATGGGCCGGCGGCCAGTTGAAGGGTAAGATGCTCACGCAGACGCCATGGGGCTCGGAGATGACGCAGGAGTAGTTATTGCCCCGGTCGAAGAACTCGGATGGCAACTTGCATCAGGAATCCCACGTCGAAGGATGCGTCTTTGACGGGCTTCCCGTTCTCCAGACACAGCAGGAACTCCAGTTCCTGACTGTGCTTCTGCAGCTTGTCGGCCGCTTGGAGGAGGTAGAGCCCGCGCTCCTGGCGTGTCTTTCATCTCCATGTCTCGAATGCCTTTTGTGATGCCTGGACGGCGCGGTCTACCTGGTTGGAGTCGCCGGCTTGAACGACCGTGATGAGGTTTCCTTGTCGCCGGATTCACCACCGGGAACCGCTTGGATTGGAGGTGTCCGTGCAGGACCAGCGGTATTCACAGACGGGAAGACGCTGCTTCCATGGTGTTGTTCCGTATGCCGAGATTGACGGTGGAATTCTGTGCCAGGCCTCGGGATGATATATCAGAACACGTAGGCTAGCCAAGAGGACAGAACGATGTCTGTTAGTGTAGATGACAATCCATAGCAACAGTCTCGTCGTCGAAATCTACTCCGTACCATGCAAGGCTTGTTACTCCGACCCGGCACAGTCCGGCTATCCAGCCGGAGCAACAAGCACTGCCCAAGCCTCGGAAGGATCTGTCGGTCGACATTTATCCTACAAACACATACATACTCCGCGACGGTCGCTGAATCCTGTCTTGTCCTGGAATAACAGTTTCTATCTCTGCCTGTGCTTACGCAACACGCCCAGACACCCAGCTCCATTCCACCCCCGTACACCACTCATTTCTTGTAAGAGTAGATGGCAAAATTGTTCCCCTCGCTATCCTCAAAGTACTGGAACAGCCCCTTATCACCCTCAGGCAGGACCTCGCTCGCCTTCTTCCCGCCGTTCTGTTCAATCGCCTGCTCCGCGTTAGCCGGTATCCCCCAGACCACTGGGCGGACAACACACCTCCATGGCCTTGCCAACGTCCTCCACGTAGAGGTAGAGCTTCGTGGAGCCGGGGCCGGCGGGGATGTCATCCGTCTGGCGCATGGCGCCGCCGATGGGGAGCACGCCGCCAGGCACGGAGAAGGTCAGAAGCTTGTGCGCGGGGAAACCCAGCGTGGACGGCGCAAAGGTCCAGTTGAAGACGGCTTGGTAGAAGGCGGATCCTGCTTGTGTCAGATTGCTGCGTTCTGTCGGATAAATGCGTGGAGGAGAGTATAGAGACGGAGAGACTTGGGTGAACTCTAGTACTCACCGCGAGCCACGTCCTTGGCGGGGATCTCGAGCCCAACAGGGGTGCCGGCCGGAGGGATTGCAGACATGATGGTGAGTCCGAGAGTGAAGGGTTGTAGAGTTGATAGTATGGTGGTAGAGGAGTGTCTGGAGAATGGATCAGGAAGAGGTACCTCCCTCTCTCTGCTAGCTTTTATACAAGGGCCTGCCAGCCGGCGTCTTTAGACTTCATCTTCCGTGCCATTGCAGTCTCCATAAATCCAGACATTCTATGAACGACGAGCCTATCAATTGACGCATCCGCAAGACGATTGTTGATTCTTTATTCCGTGGAGGCCATCGTTTATCCGACAGTCGTGGCGGAATATCTATACTCTCGGAGATCTTTTATCCGAGCCTGACAGAGTAATTGTCGGTCACCGCGGAAAGACCATAGTCGTACGTGGTCTTTAGACACAAAAGCGTGGTCTTTCCGCGCCATGCGTTGGTGCCTTAAATATTCTAGACAGGCTATACCTGGGTAGTTTGTTTAGGGCATTTCTGTAGTTACAGTTATTAGTATGCTTTCTTATACTCGGCGCATACATTATAATAAGTCCGAACACGGGTAGGAATTATACACTATATATAGATAACTGGAAGGCATTATTCTCAAAGAAATATTAGCTGTATATTTCGATATAATCTATGATATATACTTAGAAAAGGTCCTCCGCGTATAGCTCTACCCGTGCCTAGCCTTCTTCATATCCTCGAGGACACTGAGAGCTCATAACACTCAACAACACATCTCATCCCGCCAAGAATCCTCGTTTGAACAATGCCACCAAGGATAATAAAGAAGACCACGCGAAGTAGATCCATGTCTTGGTGGCGGAAGACAACACTGTCAACCAGGAAGTCGTGAACCGCAACAGTCTTGTCTCTTTGCCTATAGACCCAGTCAGCAAATTTCACCAGAATGCTTGCCTCGGGGGAGGTGAACGACGTGACAACGGTCAAAGACGGTGAAGAGGCGTTCGACACAGTCAATGCTCGCTTGGATCAGGGCTCCGTGTTTGATCTGATCTTCATGGACATCCAGGTAAGCATCTCTGCCTCTTCTGTCAAACCCACCAGCGCTAACCGCAACAGATACCCAATCTGAACGGCTTACAGAGAACCCGACCGATTCGCGAGATGGGGGTAAATTGCAACAGCCCAGGACATACTGCCGAGCCCGTAGAGGTTCCTGGTTCGAAGGACATTTCTAATGAAGAGGGAAAGAGGTTAGTTTGTATAGAGCGGTTGAAAGGCATAATTCAGAACAAATATATTGAGTATATCTGTAGCCGCGAGTACCGTATCTATCCGTCAATATGTTGTTTTCTAAAACATGCCAGGAAATTTATGCAGTTCGAAGCCAGAGACAAAAGGGCACATAACAGAAATAAAAGAAACATACGGAAGGAAAAGATAGAAGACATGAACGATACCCAGCTGGGCGAAATGAAGAGATCAGACCATGTATAACTACTTGCCAACGCAGATATAGAAGTCATATTTGAGATTGCTACATTGTGCACCAACATCCGGGTTCCAAGCAAGGAAGTCGCTGAGAGATATCCGCAATCTTGGCACACCATTCACCTTGTTCAACCTTGTGGAACTTTTTACATCCGCTCACCATACCATCTTGCGTTGGAGACGGAGTTGCACTCGTATCCGGGGTTGTAGTAGTCGGCGAGGTTGCAGAAGGAGACTTGATACCGACACAGGCGTAGAAGTTGTACTACAAGTTCCTGCAATCATTGCCGACATCAGGATTCCAGGCCGCAAAGTTGGCCAAAGAAATGCCATAGTGGTCCAGAATCGCTTGGCATCCTTCACCCTTTTCGACTTTGTGGAATTTGTCTCATCTGGCAACCATTCCGGTCTGGGTTGGGGTCGGTGTTATAATTCCGGTGGGAGTCGTCGTTGAAGCCGGTGTCGTGGAGGTCGAGTCTCTGCCCACGCAGACATAGTAATCATATTTGAGATTTCTGCAATCTGGGCCAACATCAGGGTTCCAAGCCAAGAAATCCGCATTGGAAATATGGTTGTTGTGAGAACAAGAGCATTCATCTGCATTCTGATGAACCAAGCACGATGTCGAACAATCGCCATCAGAGCTTTCCAAGAATTCCGAACACAATCCACAACTTGCACGCGCCCGCTTATGGGTCTGCGAGATCATCTTCGGTCAATTGATACAATTCCTTCCCGATCTCTCCATTGACTCGATACTTCTCATCAAGTGTCGTATACTCCAGCAATTCATGCGTCGTCATCCGTAAGCCGATGATACTGCCGAAATCATCCCTTTCAGGGTCCATGCGACCCTCGCGAACAATTCGTCGAAGTCCGTCGAGATAAATCACTCGTGGACGCCCGCTTTCAAAAGCTTCTTCATCCGCGATGAAGATGTACGTGGTTGTAGCGCTGCCCTGCATCGTCATGCCCACCGACTCGATCACTGAATCCCGGTCGTCGCGCCACGCTTGAGGATCGCTTTGCTTCCGAGCCGCAAGATCTCTTTTGAAAAAAGGACGCATCTCACCATATTCACATGGTTCGATGTACCGTATAAAATACCGGTGATCGTCCTTTGTAATACACCCAAATTCAATAGGGTAAGAGACCTCAGGTAAAATGTCATAGATGCGGCGCCAGTCAGACCCAAAATTGAATATATCCGCATCGTCGAGAACGGCCCACCATGCTTCGTCGCTAAATATCTTCCCGTCTGTCCATTTCTCCATCATCTCGTCATGTCTTTTCTTCTCGTCCTCGTCGTTGCTGTAGTGCGTGCGTAGAAGCATAGGACATAGTTCACCGGTGTAAATATTATCGGCGTGCCACCGGAGTTTCTCACAACGATAAGGTCGAAGGATCGTGTCAATTTCTTCCATGCTGGGCTCCCGCGGGGGAATAAGTAAGGGATCCCCTTCACAGTTTGTCATCCACTCAGCGGGGATGAGCTTTAGGTCCAGAAATTCAGCCACAAGTCTTTTCCGCTGCTGGTCTGGAGTTTCAGCGGAAGAGTGGTCCCAGTTTGTCTGTAGGTGCTGAGTTAATATTTGAATGTCCCAAGTGCAAAGTAAAGGAATGACAAGGTGAAAAGAGGATCTTACAATAAAGTACTGCTCAACAGCTAGGTCGCCCCATGGGGGGCCAGTCTTGTCACACTCTCCAGACATGATCAGGATGGGGGTAGGTGAGAAGGAATGATGCCAGGTGGAAGAGGAAAATCAGCGATGTTCCCTTAACTTAGGTTGCTGCAGCCTGCGATGATCTCAGCAGGTTTCACTTTCAACTTTCAGCAGTACTTGCCCCCATACGGAAATAGTTAGCAGTGGGGCAGGAAGCACTACGGAGTATACGAAGTACTACATAACTATAAGGGACGGGGTATAAGTGACTGCTGACAAGAGCATTATCTCCGAGACATGATTCTTATATTTACGGAGTAGAGAATAGCATTATGACAGAATAGCCAGACAGCCATGCACCGACACTATATAAGGAACTGTAGACGTGCGTCAACCCACTCAATCCATCAACGCCCACCATGGCCTTTCCCCCGTCAGCCGGTAGCCTCCCTCCCAGTGCATACCAGCAGCCTGGGAGTCCCGACGACTCAGTATGCGGGCGATGCGAGGACGGACGTCTACGCCAATTTCCAGACAGGGGCGCGGGTGACGGTGAACTCGAGCAGCAATTACACGGCGTATATCCGGCAGCTGCAGAAATACCCGTATTTCGAGTATAGCTGGGATCAGCCTGACCCTGTGCCGGAGGATCTTCTCCTGCTATTCTCCGAGTTCCTAGAAAAATACGGACTGGAGGACGTCGGATACAATGTCTACTACGGGGCGCAAGGCTTGTCCAACGTGTTGGATCAGTTGACCGTCAACGTGTTCAAGATCTTCGATGGATCCTTCATCGATGCGCTGCACGGCGGTGACGTGAAAGGCCTCCATACCAACGGGGAGATCTACACCAGGGTGGGCTGCACGGCTCGGGGCGGACGTTCTGTTCTCGTCGCAGTAGTGGCGGCCAGCCGGCCGGCCAACGGCACGGGGGTCCGGCTGGTGGTGCAGACACCCACCGGGCACAAGCTGATCATGGCGTCGAAGCTACTCGTCAGTATCCCACCGCTCTTGAAGAATATGCAGCCATCCGAATCGACCTGACGGGACGAGAGAGGGAGCTCTTCTCGCGATGGAAGTTCAGCGGGTATTACACACTGTTGGTCAACAACACCGGACTGCCGTCGGGATATCGGTTCCGCAACGCCAATGCCGAGACGATGGCCAATATCCCTCCTTTGCCGGCGCCGTACCAGGTCATGGAAACCCAAATTCCGGGGATCTTCTACATCTGGTATGGTAGTCCGTATTGTACGCGATGCAGGAGGCGGCGGTGAAGGCGGATGTGGTGGAGGTGATCGGTCAGTTGCGGTCGACGGTGGAAGTGAAGACGACGAGCGTCCCACAGGTTGTGGCGTTCAACAGCCACACACCGTTCAAACTGGTGGTGGATGCCGAGGCCATCGGCGGGGGGTTCTATGGGGAGGTTGCGGGCCTGCAGGGGTATTGGAACACCTGGTATACGGGAGCGGCGGTGATTTCGCACAGTTCGGCGATCTTGTGGAATTTCACGGAGGCGTTGTTGCCGGAGATGATCGCGTGAGGATCCACCGAGTACGGAGTAGACATTCCAGGAGTGAATAGTTATGCCTCGGGCATGACAGGCAGTCAGTCCACTGACTAGAAGTCCATCATCAATAGAGCGAGAGTACGCAGGGGGGAATAGGGAATATGATCTCACCTCCTCACTTGTCCGGGGAAGGGGAATGATGATGATGATGATGATATGACTGAAGATTATGAAGAATGGTAGCACGGGGATGACGTTTAGGGGAAAAGGGAAAAGGGGAGAAAAAAGGGGAAGAGGCGTTCATGATGATGTGGTAATTAGGCTCCACCGTTATATTACTTTCTTAGGAGATGCTCCATAGTACGAAGGGACTTGTCGATGATCTCCTCCTTTCTAGAAGGAGATGGATTCTAGAAGGTAGGATCAGTAGCTAGCTATATTCTAGAGTTGATATTCTCTTCTTCTAGAAGTGACTACTCTGTAATATCAGTCGAATTGTAGAGAGAGAACGGTATAATATCACGAATATAGATCGAATCTGCTGTCCCCGCCAAGCCGCAGTGTAGACGTCATCGTCTCCTTTTCTCCTAATCGACTTCCACTATAACTATTCGAGTCTTACTACTGCTACTTTCCATCACTTCTGTATATTACTTATTACTTCTTCTTTTCTTCTTCTATCGGGCTTGGTGGATCGATCGATCGGCCTCCTTTATTTAAAGGGGTGTTCTTTTTATATCTCTCCATCTACCACCTCCGTACTCCATAACTCCATAACTGCTACTACTACTACTACTACTACTACTTACTACCACCTTACTCCGTACTTACATATCCGGCTTCTAGACTACTTCTACTGTCCGGCCGTCACGGGCGCACCGCCTCTTCTGCCTATCTTGCATCCCCTCTTACCCCCCTCTCTTCCTCTTCGTCTCTTATCTCTCTTCTTCTTCTCTTTTCTCTCTCTCCCTCTCCCCCTCCCCCTCCCTCTCCCTTCTCTCCTCCTCCCCTCCTCACCATGGCCGCCATCGTCCGCTCCCAAACCCCCGTCCAGGACGCCTATCCCTCCATCGCTCACCGAACCGGTTCCCTTCGTTCCAGTCGAGGTTTCTCCCGCTCGAATTCCCGCCCTAACTCCATCTATACTACCACCAACCCCGCCGCCGTAAGCGGCGCGCTTCCGTCTCGCTTTCACGAAGACTTTGACGCCGCCAGTCAACGCGGTTCCCTCGTCCTCGATGATCCCTCCGCAATAGGCATCCCCCCTTCCGCCTCGCAGCTGTCCCACTCGCGCTCCGCCACCCCGACCCGCTCCGCCACCGGCACCCTCAAGAAGAAGAACTCGCTCAGTCGGAAGGGGAGTCTGCGTCGCAGTGGCAGTCGCCGCAGTATGCGCGCCGGCAGTGTGCGCAGTCTGGCCCTCGGCGATCGCGAAAAGTACCGCGTCGACGGCGCCGACGATCAGCATAGCGCCTTTTACATCCCCATCCCCACGGATGGGAGTCCCACGGAGGTCTTGGCCAATCGCTTTCAAGGTGCGTGTGCCGTTGCGCTTCTCCGCGCTTGACATACTAACATCCCCCCCAGCCTGGCGCAAGGTCCTCAAAGACCTCATCATCTTCTTCAAGGAACTGCAAAAGTCCTACGAGACGCGCGCCAAGCTCTTCCTCTCCGCCTCCAACGTCCTCAACAACTCCGCCGTCCCCCAGACCTTTCTCACCTCCGGCGGTCTCTCCGAGGCCACCGAGATCCTGCGCGACTTCCACCGTCAGGGCTACCTGGAGGCCGACAAGGCCGCCGAGATCGAAAACGAAGTCGTCAACCAGCTGATCGGCCTGCGCAACGACCTGCAGAAGAAGACCAAGGAGATCCGCGGTCTATCAGGCGACTTCCGCAACTCGGTCGACAAGGAAGTCGAGGCCACCCGCAAGACGGTGCGCCATCTGCACGAAGCGCTGGGTCTCGTCGATACCGATCCCTCCGCCACCTCCGGCAAAGGCGACCCGTTCATCGTGCGACTCAGCGTCGACAAGCAGATCGAGAAGCAAATCGAGGAGGAGAACTACCTGCACCGGGTGCGTCCCCGCGTCCGCGGTTCCCTGGGAGCGACCCCCTTGCTAACCGTGGGCAGGCCTTTCTGAACCTCGAAAGTTCCGGCCGCGAACTCGAATCTATCGTCGTCAGCGAAATCCAAAAGGCCTACAATGCCTACGCCGGCATCCTCCGTCGCGAAGCCGACGAGGCGTACAGCACCGCTGAGAAGCTCCGCGTGGGGCCCGTGTCCATGCCGCACGACCACGAATGGAACTCGTTCATCGCAACCACCGACGAACTCGTCGATCCGCGGGTCCCGCTGCGCGACGTCGAGACCATCACCTACCCGGGCAAAGATCATCCAGCTGCGGCCGAGGTCAGATCCGGCATGCTGGAGCGAAAGAGTAAATACCTCAAGAGCTACACGCCGGGATGGTAAGTCTTCCCGCTCATCATCGGCCAACAAGCTCCCGACTCACAATTTTCCACAACAGGTACGTCCTGTCGCCGACGCACCTGCACGAATTCAAATCGGCCGACCGCGTCGCCTGGCAGACCCCGGTGATGTCCTTGTACCTCCCCGAACAGAAACTGGGATCGCATTCGCAACCGGACTCCACGTCGCACAAGTTCATGCTCAAGGGCCGCCAGACCGGCGCCATGCACCGCGGCCACTCGTGGGTGTTCCGCGCCGAGTCGCACGACACCATGATGGCCTGGTACGAGGACATCGAGTCGCTCATCTCCAAGACCGGCGAGGCCCGCAACGCCTTCGTGCGCAAGCACGTCCGCACCGTCAGCAGCACCAGCTACCGCACCAGCAGCGACGGCGTCATGGACGACGACGAGGCCGACCGCACCCCCTACTCGCCCGAGTCCGTCGTGCTCGCCCACGACCCCCACCCGCGCCCGACCTCGCAGCCCCGCGAGCCCGGCGGCCGCTTCCCCAGCGACGTGCAGATCGACCGCCACCTGCAGGCCCCGCTGTCGCCCTCCAGCGGCGAGAGCTTAGCCGATCGAGACCTACCGGCCACCGACGGGCTCGGCCCGCCGCAGTCCGTGTCGGAGCGCGAGGGTGACAGCCAGGGGAAACACATCAGTTATGACGCCGAATCCACGACACAGCCAGCCGCGCACACCATCTACCACACGCACGAGCGGGACGCGCCCGGTCCACAGTCGGGACGAGATGTCGTCGCACGCACGCGGCACGAGAGCGTGTCGAGTGCGCCAACCACCAATATGACCGATCACACGCACCACACCGTCCCGACCTCGGTGGCATCCACCGAGCCCGAGGCGCCCGCGCCGCGTCCCGACGTCGACGTCTTCTCCTCCAAGACCGCTCCGGTCGGATCCACCATGCCGAACGGGGTGGGCGCATCCGCTGCCGATGGCGCCGTAACGACGCCGGGTGCTCGCTCCAAGGCCAGCGTGTCGGCGCTGGAACTCCGTATTCCAGGCCATTACCCGCCCACGCACGTCCCTGCCTAGGCCGGAGGCCCTGAGTATCGGAACGCTTCTACCTACCTACCTACCTACCTACCCTTCTTGTACATTATTTCCTCTGACCCGAGCAGCCACCCGGAAGGACCTGCTCCATTCACTCTTTTATTTAGTTCATTATCTAACTTACGTCTCTCATTTGTTCAAGTCGTCGCGCGACGAGCATGTCATTGACTGATTCTTGGCGTTTTGGGTGGATGGACGATGACTGGCGAGGACATGGGAGTCTACTGCTGTAGACGGGGAGTTATGCCTAACGATTTTCCTGTTGTTTTCTTCCCTTCGCTGTACCATAGTATATACGCGTATATGGCGATGTGGTTGGATATATATTCATTCTTCACACCAAAAGGATGCTGCTAGTCTGCAATACCAACTGGTTTTCGAAACCATCGCCTTTGCTACATCGTAGTGTGGGGTTACTTCTGACATCTACAGTCCCAAATCCAGACATGGGTATGGCAATTTCTACCAAGCTGGTACTCAAGATAACACCCTCCGACCTCACACGAGGCCTGGATAACAAGCTCAAAAGAACCCCGACCGATCGCCAGAAGATATACGGAAAGCACCAAACATCCCGGCTCCAAGGCTCTGGTGGGCCACCAATACATCCGAACTTTTCGACCGCCCGGTCCTTTGAGGCAACAACAAACGAAAGTCAAACCAACCAACAAACGGGGAATATTACATGATCTGATCCTGGGTGATGCCGCCGGTGGGCTCGGCACCGTCCATGGGCTCCGGGCCAGGACCAGGGCCGACGCCGGGACCGGGGCCCATGTTCATATACTTGACAAAGGTGATGCCGAGAGGACGACCGCCATACTGGTAGCCGGTAAACTTGGCGATGGCCGTCTCTGCGGTCTCCGCATTGTCGAACTGGACCACACCGGTGCCGCGGGAGCGGCCATTGGGCTCGTACTGGATCTCCGCGCGTTCGACCTTGCCGATGGTGGAGAACAGATCGACCAGATCTTCATTGCAGGTGGACCAGGGCAGCTGCGCATGTTAGTCGTCGATTGCCAACTCGGACAGAGGTCACTCACGTTGCGCACGTAGATGATCGGACTCTTCTCGCCGCCCGAGGTGGCGAAATCGGTAAAGGAGTTGGGCGGCACCGAGGCCATTCCCTCGAAGCCGGGGCCACCACCGTAGCCACCGCCCACACCACCAAAGCCACCCCGGAAACCGCCGCCAAAGCCGCCGCGACCGCCGAAGCCACCACGGGCACCAAAGCCACCGCGACCGAAGCCGCCGCCGAAGCCGCCGCGGCCACCAAAGCCCATGCCGGCGCCGGCAAAGCGGTCCTCGCGAACCTCCAGGGTCCGGCCCTGCCAGTCGTAGCCATTGAACTGTTGGATGGCATTGCGTGCGTCGTCGGGGGACTCAAAGGCCACAATTCCGGAGCCCTTGGGGCGACCGGTGGCATCGGTGTGGACGTCGGCACGGATGACGGCGCCTTGCTGTGCTGGAAGGCGATGGGATCAATATCGACTCGACGAGAAGGGGGGAGAAGTAGGCGCGAAACACAGGTCGGGACTTACCTGCTTGGCGGAAGAGATCTTTCAAATCTTGCCAGCCAACATTAAAGGGAAGCTAGAGGATGTTAACTCATCGGCGTCCACGATCACACGATGGGAAGGACCAACATTGGCGACGTAGAGCTGTCTTCCACCACCACCACCGCCGCCGCCATAGGCACCGCCGAAGCCACCGCGACCGGCGCCGCCAAAGTCTCCGCGGCCTGGGCCACCGGTGAAACGAGGTTCGGGCTCCCGATCCTGGGAGAGTCAGCATTGGGACGAGACAGACGACAACACAGAGGGGAAATACCTCGCGAACGTAGACGAGTCGGCCCATCAGGTTCTGGTTGCTAAGCGTGTTGACAGCATTCTGCGCTTGCTCCCTCGTTGCGTATTCCACAATCCTGGATCGATTAGCGTTATTTTGGAATGGATTTTTTTTTTCTTTTTGAAAGACTCACCCGCATCCCTACAATATCCCGGACGTCCAGGCCCAGCCCGTCAACCCAAACAGTTCCATCAAAACGACACAACGGGGGAATGAAAGGGAGGAAAGCCAGAAAGCACAAGGGTAAAAAGGAACCAGCCACACTACGCATTGGCGCCCACCTTCGACATTCCATTGGGAAGTAGTAAGACATCGGCGAAGATGACCTCTCCGGCTGGTGGGGTCAGTGAGCGATTGGAGGGTCGGAGGAGGGGGAGCTCACCCTGTCTCATGAAATCTTTGAGGTGATGCCATTTGACATCGTAGGAGAGATTGCCCACATAGACGCGACGGTCTTGCTGGGACGACTCGCGCACGGCTTGCATCATTTGTTCTTTGGCGACGGCGCGATCTTCAAAGGATCGGGGCGGGGGCGGGTAGCTGCTGCGGCCGGGGTAACTGGAAGCAGAATGGGCACCGGGAACACCGGGGGCGGTGCTCATGGGCGAGCGCGAACGGCGATCGGAGCGACGGTAGTCGTCGCGCGAGCGAGAGCGCGAGCGGGGGGAGTAGGAGCGGCGGCTGCGTCGAGGACTGCGCGAACGACGACGGGGGGAGCGAGACCTCTCGCGCTGAGCGTGGTCAGTATCGTAGAAGTCGGCCGGCATCGGCAGAGGAGGGAGGGAGGACGGGAGGAAGTAATTGAAGAAAGAAGAGTGGGAGGGGTAGTGGAGAAGGGTGTGATGGCAGAGAAAGAGATGATGAAACGACTTGGATTGGGGGAGAGACAAGAGAGAGAAGGTTGATGGACGGGTCGGGTCAGGTCAGGTGACCGGGGGCTGGAGGGAAGTATGGGGACCCGGGGAACCACACCACCCATCAAAGGAATCGCGATCCATCATGATAAATCATCCATCGAGTGGGGTAATTCAGTAGAGGATCAAAATTAATGGATATGGATGATGTTGAATGCTGAGGAATGGTGATCGCCGTCTCGTAGGCGAGAAGAGCGCACGAGGGAGGAGTATCAGAGTAAGAGGGGAAGGGAAGAAGGAGATGATGGCGAGAGAGATGAGAAGAAAGCGAAAGGAGACTCACTTGATATGGGCGATAGACGTCGGCTGGGATGGTTAGCCTGGGCGATGGAAGAGATGGAGAGAGAGAGCAAGAGAGAGAGAGGAGGGGGAGGAGAAGGAGAAGAAAAGAAGATGAAAGGGAGGGGAAGGGAGAAGAATGCAGGGAGAGAGACAGACAGACAGGAGACAGCGGGGGGGAAAAGGAGAGAAAGTGAAAAAGAAAAGCAAAACGCTGTCAGACGGTGACTGGGTGTGATTGGTGCAGAATCCGAGTGCTGTAGAGAGAAGACAGATAGAAGAGGAAGACAGTAAGAGAGAGAGAGGGAGGGAGAGGGAGAGAGAGAGGGAATGGGCCGGCCAAGACAGACAAGGACCTTGAGGAACTGATAGAGATAGAGAGACAGAGAGAGATCAAAACAATGCTTACCCATGATGGACGACTCGCGACGCGTGGATCACAACAAAAGAGAGGGAGAGGAGGGAGAAGGGGAGGGGAGGAGAGGAGGAGGAGTAGTAGTAAGAAGAGTAGTTGGAGTAGTAGGCAGGGAATAGCAGGAGTAGGTAGTTATTAGTTAGGTAGTAGTAGAGTAGGAGTGCAGGTTAGACAGGTGTTGTTGCAGTGGTGGTGGAAGAGGAAAGAGATGAAGACAGAATGAACTCACCCGGAGCAGGTCACACTATGTAGTATATTATCTATCATAATACCTATTTTCTACTTTCTACTTTCTACTTTATTATAATTTATTTACATTTTATTCATATATTTATACTTTTATTTATATATTTTATTTATACTTATATTATTTTATATCCATCATCTATCTACATCTTGATCGTTGATATCAGCTCAGGCCACCGCTTACCTCTTCCTTCCGCCTCCATCTTTTCTCTTCCCTTCACCATTTCACTTTCTCTCTCTTCTCTCTATCACCACTCCTCTCCACCATGGCTCTCCGTCCACCCGTTGCTCGTCTCTCTCGCCTCTCCCGCCTCTCCCTCTCTCGCTTGTCTCGTCCCTGTCTCCTCTCCTCTCCCTCCCCCCTCCCTCTCTCCCATCCCTCGCCATCCCATCTCCCATCAAGATCCCTACGTCCATACCATTCCACCCTCCATCCGGACCCCCCGCCGCACGAATACACCAACTCGCAATCCACCATCCTCACCGCGGCCCTCCGCCACGTCCCCGACCACGGCTTCACCAAGAATGCCCTCACCCTCGGCGCCCGCGATGCCGGCTTCCTCGACGTCTCCGTCCAGCTCCTCCCCCGCGCCGAATTCGACCTGATCCTCTTCTGGCTCGCCAGTCGTCGCGGGCTCCTCCGCGCCCGCGTCGAGAATGACCACCTTCTAGATTCCTCCGACAACGCCTCCGTCGACGAAAAGACCAAGACCCTCATCATGGAGCGCCTCCGCATGAACGCCGACATCCGCCATCAATGGCAGGATGTACGTTCCGTCACCCCTCGCCCTGTCCATTCCACCCCAGCTAATCAATCCGCAGGCCCTCGCTGTCATGTCCCTCGCCGGAAATATCCCCCTCTCCCTCTCCGAACTTCACGCCCTCGCCTCCGACATTCTCTACCTCGCCGGTGACAATTCCGTCGACGCCGCCTGGTACACCAAGCGGCTCTCCGTCGCTGCTGTCTACGCCGCCGCGGACCTCTACATGACCCGCGACGCCGCCGATCTCGTCGCCACCGAGGCCTTTGTCGCCCGTCGCATCGCCGATACCAAGGCCGTCGGCGACAAGCTCGCCGGCATCAAGCAGTGTCTCGGCTTCATGGGAACCACCGCCGTCGGTCTGGGACGCAGTTGGGGTTTGAAGATTTAACGTCACCCTGTATTACTCTAGAATTGTCTTACTATACACCTGTACAATACATATCATACACACTCGTCCCCATCTCCTACTCTGTACAGTAGATCATCGGGACCGCTCCCGTTCCCGCTCCCGCTGCGCCCGCACCCGTCGCGTCAGTCTTTCCATCCACCCCTCCGGCCCAAACAGCTCGCGCACCGCGCGCCGGTTCGGCGCCAGATCCCACCAGGGCTCGCGCGCCGCTCCACCGCCCGGCTCCGCGCGCACCCGCCGCCGATGCTCCGTCAGATCCCGCTCCCGCTGCCGCGCAATCCCATCCAGCAGCGCGCACGTGCGCCCATCGCCCTCCACCCCCGTCACCTCCATCTCCTGCAGCAGCGCCACCACCCCGGGGAGGTCATGCGCCCCGCGCCACGCAAAGTAGATCAGCTCGTTGTACAGCCCCGTCGAGCTGCCCAGCACCGCCGACGCCCGCCCGTGCGCCTTGATCGTCGCCCGGAACTGTGCGATCAGCGGCGACCCCGGATAATGCAGGTTCAGCAGCCGGAACGCCACCAGCAGCATCTGCGGGTACAGCGCCACGACCACTGGCTCGTGCGGCACGCCCGGAGGCACCGTCAACGTCTCGCTCTCGCCGTCGTCGGCGGACGCATCAGATATCGGTAGGGCTGACACCTCCGCCGAGTCGAGATGCCGCAGCATCGAGAAGATCCGTTGCTTGCACACCGCCCAGATCGCCGTGTCGCCTGCCCCGGACTCAACCGCCGCCCGCAGCGCCGCCTCGATCTTGCCCGCCTCGCGCTGCACCACCAGCTCGATCGCCCGCTCCGTCGACACCTGCTTCTCCTGCAAGGCGTGGCCGATGTCTGCGTCTGTGTCTGCATCCTCGCCGGGCGGGAGCCCCGTCGTGGCTGCGGCCTCGTCCGCGGACGCAGCCGCAGCCGCAGCCGCAGCCGCATCTACTGTCTTGGACGCAGCCCGCCCCCTCCGCCGCTTCATATCCTTCAGCACGGAGTCGAAAATCGCCGAAATCTGCGCCATCTCGGAGCGGTCTGCGTCGCTCAGCGAGGACGCGTGCGGGGTGGGAGACGGGTCGGGCTGAGTGTCTGCGTCCGCCGGCGGGGATGGTGCATCCGGCCGCACGCCGATCTGCTCCAGCAGCTCGCTGAACACCTGTTTCTCGCCCTGCGTCATGGTCGGGGCGTGGCGTTTCGATGGGCGGGTCGGTGTGTGCGGTGCCGGAGGCGGCGGAGGGGCGACGGACGCCGCACGGCGCTGGAGGTAGCTTCTGCGTGGTTTGCGCGGGGGAGTTGCCTCGCTAGCCGCTGAGGAGGTCTCGTCTTGTGCATCGGATGCGTCCTCGTCGGAGCCGCGGGGAGCGTGCGTGCTCAGGGAATGGGTCGGACGGGCGGCGAGCGTGCGCGTCTGGTACAGGAAGGGCACGGGGGAATTGCGCGTGAGGGCCAGCCAGGCCCGGGAGATAGGCATGCGCATGTTGGACAGCTAAACACAATCAGACATGTCGGTGTTGGTAAAGGACAATCTTGATGGAGATCGGGGCGGTGCATAGAGATTTTGATCCGGGTTAAATTGATCCCACGCACACGTGACCACGCGGTCCACAGACGCGTATTCTCCTCCGCGCCGACCACCACCAACACATGTTAAGACCACGACCCTCAAACACCACACACATAGACTCCGCATAGTCTGCACGCAGCGAGCACAATGGGCGGCGAGGAGCTCTCCGAATTTGAAAAGCAGCGGCTGGCCAACATCGCCGAGCGCGACGCGCTGCTGAAGAAGCTGACGCAGGATGCGCAGTCGGTCGGCCTGTTCCCGCCAAAGATGCCCAAGGGCGCGTCTCCGGCGGGCGACAAGGCCAAGAAGAAGAAGCCGGCGCCGAAGAAGGTGAAGAAAGAGGAGGCGGCGGCGGCGGCGCCGGTGCCGCGGCGCATGTCGTCGCGACTGCGCGGCATCGCGGCCGAGAGCGAGGTCGCCAAGCGCAAGGCGGACGAGCACGACGCGGCGCTGCAGGAGGCCGAGCGGGCGAAGCGCATGCGCAAGTCCGACTCGTTCTCGCTCAGCGAGATGCTGGTCTCCGGGCAGAAGCTGTCCGGGGAGAGTCTGCTGGGCGTGGACGTCGTGACTAAGGGCGTGGCCATGCCGTACCAGCGCACGTTTAGCGATGAGGACATCAAGAAGACGACAGACAAGGATCTGAAGGCTTTGCGGGAGGAGATGAGCGGCCTGGGGCTGTGGGACGCCTGGGAACCCAATCGTACGCATCTCCCAACCCCCCGGTCTGACGTGGTAAACGTCCTACTCAACATCCGCAGGTATCAAGCTCACCCCGGAGCGAATCTACGCCATGACCTTCCACCCGTCGGAGAGCAAACCGCTGATCTTCGCGGGCGACAAGATGGGCCACCTCGGCGTGCTGGACGCCTCGCAGACGAAACCCGTGTCGGCCGCGACGCACGACGAGGACGAAGAGGACGACGACGACGACCCAGACCCCGTCCTCACAACCCTCAAACCGCACACGCGCACCATCAGCTGCATGACTATCCACCCGTCGAAACCGACGCACCTCTACACAGCCAGCTATGACAGCTCGATCCGCGAGATGGACCTGGAAAAGACGACGTCCGTGGAGCGGTACGCGCCGGCCTCGACGGCCGACGACGTGCCCATCTCGGGGCTGGACATGGCGCTCGACGACCCGCACTGTCTGTACTGGACGACGCTGGACGGCGAGTTCGGGCGCTACGACATGCGCACGCCGCGGCAGGACTCCGCCACGCGCTGGACGCTCTCCGACAAGAAGATCGGCGGCTTCTCGCTGTACCCCACGCACCCGCACTACTTCGCGACCGCCAGTCTGGATCGCACCATGCGTCTGTGGGACCTGCGTAAGCTGTCGCATAAGTCGCCCGTGGCGGTGGGCGAGCACGAGAGCCGCCTGTCCGTGTCGCATGCGGCGTTCAACGGCGCGGGCCAGGTCGCGACCTCGTCGTACGACGACTCGCTGAAGATTTACGATTTTGGAGCCAAGGGTATTGCCTCGTGGAAACCGGGGCATTCGCTTTCAGACGCCCAGATGAAGCCTGATGTCGTGGTGCGACATAACTGTCAGACGGGTCGATGGGTTACCATGTAAGCCCCCTGTTTCCCTAAATAACACCGATAACTGATACTTACAATTGTCTAGTCTCCGTCCCCAGTGGCAGCAAAACCCCCAGTCGCACATTCAGCGCTTCTGCATCGGCAACATGAACCGCTTCGTGGATATCTACAGTGGTTCGGGTGATCAGCTTGCCCAGCTCGGCGGAGATGGCATCACTGCCGTGCCTGCAGTCGCTGTCTTCCATCGCAGCAAGAATTGGGTAGCCGGTGGGACCGCCAGTGGAAAGATTTGTTTGTGGATGTGATGCACAATTGCTTCGTTGGTTTTTATTATTCAAGCGACTTTGCTTTCTTCCAAAGATTGCCTTCTGTATAATTACACTCCGACGGTGTTTAGTTACCCAACATGGAAGATATATTCCATCTATTTGAAAAGAAAGACACTATTTACACATTCGATAACGCTGTCTTGCAACATACTCAATCGAACGAGACCCTTCTGTCCACGGCAGAGAGCGAAAACACACATCGCCACCATCGTAGGATCCTTTGTATCCCACGGGAAAACAGCAATCAGAGGAGGGTATCAACACCATGAAAAAAGAAATGCTTTCCAAAAGAGAAGGAACGAGAAGACAAAACACTGATAGTATAAGAGAACGTGCGTAAATCATCAGCACATATGTAGGGGGCGGAATAAGACAGGAGAGCCAGAAATGTACATCAAAGCATGTCGGGATTCATAAACCCCCGGCTATACAAACGGAACAACGCTTGTTGACGGATTGCTGGATATCCAACTCTATCATGGAATCTCGACACAGCCAGGAGCAAGAATCCCAAAGAGGGGGCAGGAAAAAGCACGGGAGAAATGCAGTCGTAAGACCTGGTGTAATGCATAAACAAAAGGTGAGATGATCATGTCACGTAGGGTGATTCATAATGCCGAGTATCAAGTAGAGCCACGACTCTAGATTTCGTTCCGCAGCTCCTCTCGCGATTGTTGAGCCTGGTCCCGATCTTTGGCTTTGCGCCGGGACGGTGCAGGAACAAAATCAAAGAACCGATATTTGCTGGTCTCTCGGCTCTCCCGACTCTCCCGGGTCATACTAGACCTGCGAGCCTTGGAGGAGTCGTGATATTCCAGAGAGTATGTGGACGAGTTCTTGGAACTGCCGGTGCTATCTCGCGGCTCCGACCATCGAGGTATGGAGAAAGGCATCCGGCTTTGATCCCAGGTTGCGGACGAGGAACTCGGAGGCGTATCATCATCAGCACCTTCGGCGGCGTAATCTGTCGATCGGCGGGGAAGTCCAGGCCTCGAGGCAAAATATCCGATGGAATTGCGATGACTGCCAGTCACAGATGTGGAGCCTGCTACGGCCGTCTCCGCGGCCGGAGTGGCCGGCTTGGAGCTTTCATCGTAGAATGTCGCCGACCTCTCCATCGCATCGACCAGTTCCTCCCATTTGACTTCAAGGTTGCCACTCGGGCGCTCTGCTTGCTCCGCCTTACTGAGACATTCCTTGGTTCGCTCATGGAGGCGAACAGCCATTTCATGGAATTTCCTGACGGCCGGATCGATCTCGCCAGTTTCGTCCAGTTTTTGCGGTACACAATCGAGCCAAATGCGGATAAGGTTGGCGAAGCTTCGGGCGTGGTCAATCAGGAATGGGAGGCTGGGGAAGCCCTCGCGGGACGGCGGAGGCAGACGGCCCAGAATTTGGATGGGCGTGGCATACGATGGGGTGACAATCGGTGCTGGTCTGTCGGCTGGAATGGCACAGATTGAATCGACAAACTGCTTGAACTCAGTTCGATGTCCATTCAAGAACCTGTTCATGGGTTCCATCCAAGGCTCCTTGCTACCGAAGGTAGTCATGTTCGCAAGACCCTGTAAAGCCTTCGCAATCAAAGTGAGCGTGCGCTGGGCCCGAGGGCGGGGATGATCCTTCAGCAGCCCGAAAAGCTTGGGATTGAGAATTGCAGGGCAAAAGAAGCGCAGGAACAGAAATCCCGAGACACTGCTGTAAGTGACAGTGCGCAGAAAGTCGCCGTAACGGTCCTCGGCACAGGCTCTGATATGACGAAAAATGAGCCGCAGTTCCGCCGGACACCGGGATGCCGAGCCTGCGATTGACTTCCACACGCTCGTAGTGAGGGATATCAAGTTCCTCCAATTGCGCTCAAGATCATCCGAACGATGCACCCGAGACGGATCGACCTCACATTCAGGGTCACTCTCATCTATATCACGCAGGCGCTCACCAATGGTTTCCTCTAGATATTCTTTACCAAGCCTGCGCATATGGTAGTCAAGCGCCTTGGTGAGCAGGGAGTTGCCCCGGAAGAGAAGGTTGGCTTCCACGGTGGCGGTGCGCCCCATGTCCCTGACAAGGACTTCTCGATCCTGATTAGATTCGCGTGCGTCGTTGGAATGGATTCTTGTGGTGTATCGGAGTCTGTTTGCCGTTGAGTCCTTGTGCAGTCCGTCGATCTCGTCTTCAACCAGCGCCGATAACCACTCAACAGTCGTGCCCGAAACCTGGAAGATATTGAGAAGGGCTTCGGAAAGCTGATTGAGCTCCGAGGACATCACCTGGGCCATGTTGATGGTCAGTCCATTGGTAAAGGAATGGAGCAGTTCGGACATGGGCGTGTATTCATTCGACATCAGCACGACAGTCTCCTCCATCCGGGCTTTCATGAGCATCTCTCCCACAGATTGATCTCGGTCGTCGAGGATAGGCCACCATTTTTCGGTTTCGACGCCGGACTCTAGGTCGTCCAATCTGATATCCACTCTACCATACGTGGCGTCATGGGACGAGATTTCAACATCATCTAACGCGCGCATAGGGTTCGCTTCTTGGTTCAAAGCATAAGATCCATGCGCGATGAGGCTCCAGTCCTTTTGGGTGGGATTGAGGGTTTTGACGAGCAACGAGACCTGAGACAACACGGGCGGCAGGTCGTTGAACACTAAATCCTCTCTCCAGAAAGGGTTTGCAGTGCGATACTTGACCGCAGTCTTGGCGCGAATCTCTCCATCCAGAAGAACCTCGGTGTAGTAGTCATTTACTGCCGACGTCGAAGTGTTGCTAATGGACTTAGACTGCTTCCGACTCCGGATCGATTCTTCCGGCGTCTTTTTCGGGAAGAGCTTGGCCTCCGTCACTCGAACTGTGAGCATTCTCTCGATTCTGAACATATCCGCCGTGCTTCCGATGGTGTCCGTCGGTCCTGGTACTCGAGTCGGGTCATCTTCGATGGAAGTTTCGGGGCCGTAGAGTTCGGGAATCGTGAAAGCGCGCAGAAGCACAAACCACACCTCAAACAGGACGCGGCTCTCCAATGCCAGATACACGGGGCGGGTCAGTCCCGACACCGCGTGAGCGGCATACTGGGGATATATGGCAATGCAAAATTCATCCTCTAAGACGGAAGCATTCAGCTGCTGGACCGCGCAGCGGGAAAGCTGGGACAATTGGATGCAGGTGACCAGCGTGATGTCGGACTCGGTGAAGAGCTTAAACGCGCCGTTCTCTTGGAGCGTGCAGCTGACTTTCTGCCACGCCGACGAAAGGGCCCGTTGCTGGCGGTAGGTCGAGACGCGACGGCCAGAGGACGGACGTGCACCCGACGCATTCGGCCGGTCCCAGAGGAGCATCTTGCCTACTTTGATGATGGCCGCCTCCTTTTGAACGGTGCTTTCCGAGTTCCGTCGGCGGTCGCTCATCCGGCGATCGCCTATTGCGACCGATTGGGGCTTGGTCATCTTGTTCTGCACCCCTTTTGGCCGAATTGGTTGCCAGCATAGCAACGCGGCGAGCCAAGAATCAAAGGTTTCGCTCACATGGGGTCGCAGCTCCACTCCAAGACCGGAAGTGAAGGTCGAAACGCTCAGGTAGTTCGTGCCCAACTCTGGGTCGACGCGAGACCGGACCTGGCAACCACGAAGGTCTGGGATCAGTGTTTTGGCCAAGGCAGGCTCTCCCTTTGCTTGGTAGATCAAACTTCCGGTCGCGACGTTGATGGCGCAGTAACCCGACGTCCAGGCGGTGGTGGAAGCAGTCCGGAATGAAAGGATCCCATGCATGCGTCCGCACGTAGTCTTCATGAGTTGCAGGATCTTAGAAGCATCGGAGCTGGACAATGGCGATGACGCCTGGGCGACGGAGGGTCCTGACAACACATTCGATACCGGAGGTGGCCTGCTTAATCGGTGACGTCCGAGTGATTGCGTGAGGTAGGTGGGCGACTGGATCGACGGATAGCCGATGGAACTTGACGAGTCTTCCGGGGTCTTGGGCGCAGAGGCGGCGGTGTTGATGGACCCGAGCCGATTGCGCGTCCGGGCGAAAAAGGAGTTCGATGAGATGTCGCTACGTTGATCATCGAGGGTGGTTGTGCGCGACCGATTCCGCTGACTTTTCGCCTCTACCTGGGACTCCTCTTCGTCGCCGGTGGAATAGTACTGATAAAGGTCGCGACGGGATTCCACGTCGGGGCCTCGCGTTCGGGGGGTGACACGGGGAGAGGCTGCGGCACTGGAAAGATACTCCGCCTCCGACAAGGGGGAGTGGTGAGCGGGTTCGGAGGATGAGTCCGGGGTCACAGTGCGAATGCTGGTTTCCCTGAAACTATCCGGATAGACCATGCCATGACGGTCTTTGGAGGAGGATTTTTTGCTGGGACGGCGTTCCACGGGACGGCTGTAAACGCCCTGGTGGATGGAATTCCGTTTGAGCCCATTTGAATTTTCCGGCTCCATCTTCCCGGCGCTGCAGGACGAGACTGGGGCCGTAGCGGCACTGCAGGAGGTGTCGCTACACGACAGGCACGACGCGGGCGAAGACACTGGCGGCGAGGCAAGGGTCGGCTCGAGATGATGTTACGTTGCAGCACACTAGAATCCAACACACGCTGCGCGGCCGTCCTCGAGCAATTGAGGGTGTTTGTCGTCCAATGGATCGCTAGGTGAACGCATGGAGTCCGGTAAAGGGGATGGGTGTCGAGTCGCACATTCGTTCAAAACCAGCGCGTTCTGGTGAGGAGGGAAAGAAGGGAACAGGTCGGACCCGGAGCGACGGCGGCGACGATGGCAGTGTTCGCAGTAGTGGTGATTTGGAACAGAGGGAAGAATAAGGCGTGAAAGGGAGGGGGGAGGACTGACGGCGGGAATAAAGGACGGACGAACAGATGTGGAGAAAGGGAGGGTGAGAGAGACGGTAAAGAGGGAGAAGAAAGGTGATTCTCGAGAATGAAAAGAATCACCTTCGTGAGGGGGAAAGGCAATCAAGATGGAATCGCATGAAGAGAGGGAGGTGACAGGGACCGTCCGGATGGGGGGTGGATGAGGGAAGACGGTGATGATGGAGATGGAAGTCGTAGTGGTTGGTTAGGTAAGGTCGTAGTAGGTAGGTAACAATTGGTGGTGGTGGTGCTGGGAAACGACCATATGGTCGGTTACGTTAGCCCGAAGGGGGGGAAAGAGAAGAAAAAGAACCCGAATGGAATTACGGTGAGGAGCGAATGGGAGGCCCGGATGACAAGGGTGGTTTGTACGGTACGGTAACCAGGCCTAACCTGTGATATCATTCCAACTTTAGGCCTATACTATGTCGAGACGAACCATCGGGGTGTTCGACTCACCAGCAATATTCTCTTGATGCTCTTGAAGAGAGACTGATCCCCGAGCCAGGAAGTAGCATACAAAAATATTATAGCTTTGTGCGTGTGGGTAGGTGGGTGGATGGAACACTCTCTCCCAACTTGCTGCAGATCCCACTTTAGGGTCAAATGCCCGTTTAGGATACCGTCCGTTCGCGCTCGGTCGATGTTCGGGTATGGGGAGGCGGAGTGGCGTCAGATTCGTCAAGCACAGGGCATCAGCTGTACCTGGGGATCTTCAATGGGGTTCAGAATAAGCAGAACAAGAAATCCGAGGTCAACCCATGCGGAGGGAGGGGTTCATCAGACACGGAGGAAAGAGGAGAGAGTATTCCGTCAGTACAGAAGAGTTGAATAGTTTCCCCAGTGCCAGTACGGAGTACCCATGTATGGATGGACAGGTAGGCGAGGTCTAGGTAGCTTTTATCGTCTGAAGGATACTCAGATATAATAAACAACTTCAGGGGACATGATCACTATACATCACTATAGCTATAGACGAGCTACCTACTACACAGGCAGCTACGTGGTGTTGTACAGCACCCCTAACCATTATTGACCACTGACCAACAATCTGCACGGGGTCATCTCTCCTCCTGTCGTCGTGAACGATCCCAAAAGGGTGGTTGAGAGCAAGGAAGAAGACCAGGCCTCGATTCATCTTCTGCCTCCCTCATCTCACGCTTCGTCCATGGTCCATCGGCACCAGATCGATCTCGCCTAGACTAGACCGTCCCTATCGTTGGATCCTCTCCTCCGTCGGCCATAGTCGGTCATCTTCCGCAACAGTCAGGATTCCATTTCCTCCTGTCACACAGTCTTTGTGGCAACGTTCCTTCTTTGCAACTACG